ATGCATTTTTCGCTTGTACACACGTGAATTCCAAACGAAAATAGTGCGTAATATTAATGACATTGTATGCCTGCCAAATTTTTCGAATAGCGTTGTGGCCATTGACATTCTTTCAAATTAAAGTGGGAAGAGTAAGGATACTCAAAATTCACTAAATTCTTCCGTGCGGTGGCTTTGCGAGTAACATTCTAACATCCCACCCCGTCCCGGTGTCGTAAAAATAGATTAAAAATATTCAGAGAACTCTTGCAACATGCAACAGATTGGGGTATAATCATCCATATATTATATAATATACCGCTGTCGACCGGTAGTGGCTATTGGCTAAGGACTGAATTGTCATCTCGCATAAATCACCGTCACCGTTTATGACAGTCATCTCTCGTCATTGATATAAATTTGATTAGGCATAAATTTTATGATGTTTTAAGAATGACTTTTCAATAGATATTATCTAAAGGCTCATCGGTATCGGCCGCCTTTTGCAAATCTGACCCTTTATTTTCAATGCACACATAGCATAGTGTTGACATGCATTGGAGTAAATGTAACTAACGCCACATTGCATCACACAACACGTTAGTGTAATCGATTTTTCTACAATCCAACTAAATGGCCAATCCAACTCGAACAAAAAAGTTTAACTTGATGTTCTAATGAATGTCAATACTAAATCTTTCCGCTAGTCGTTTTATATAAACACCCACGATATTGGGCAAATCTCACGGTATTTATTACGTGAAATTGATTGAAATTTGCGACGGCTAGAGCTTCGTAACTTGTTCGTCACGTCTAGAGACAGTTCCCGGATTTCGCAGGAATTCGTTACACCGCTTTACCAAGAAACCGACCTATGTTTACGTCAACATCTTTACAATAATGTTTTCCTTATTTTTTTTATATTATATATATATATATATATATATATATATATATATATATATATATATATATATCAATCAACGGAGTGATTCCCACCAGAGTTACACAATCGCATTGCGGGTCAGGTTGTATTGCGTAGTGATTGCTCCAGTGTCTTTGACACTTCGTCCTGGCTTCCTAGCTTATCTCTAATCTTATCGCTAAGGGTAGCTTAGGACGACTAATTGCCTCTGTGTATGTGCGCGAGTACTGCGGCACTGCACAGTCCATCTTCCGATAGTGTTCTGCTGGATGAGATGGACATGATCAACGATAATGTATGACAGCAATTAATTGGGTTCTGAATAAAGTTTTAAAATGTACTTAACGCTTCTCTAATTTCATATTATATACTCTTGACAGTTTTTGAAGGAAATGAAAAAAGAGTTTATGTTCTACTTTACATAACTTAAATTAAAATAAGAAAAACCGAAGCAAAAAAGCTAGTGATTTTTAAACGGCTGAAGAGATTTTCTTGAAAAATAGCTAAATACCCTTTCGATTAAGACACCTTTCAAATGAAAAAAGAACTTAATCAAAACGATTTATCGGTTCAGAAGCTATGATGCCACAGACAGACATAGATAAACAGAATCACAGATACACACTAAAAACATATAAACCTCTCTGTTTTCGCGGGGGTTAAAAATAATATTTTTAGTCCATACTTGCGCTTTCAAAATTGTGTGGAAGAGTACAAACGGTTCACATACCATTATTATCTAATAAAAATTCTGCATTCCTTATATAACTTCTTTTCATTGAGCTTACAGTATTGTCCTTATCCCAATAAAGTCGATTTTGCTCGTTCACATTACAATATTTACTGTTGGATTCCGCAATCTCATCGCAGTTGAGTTTCCCATTGTGCGGATACAAACGGAGCTATAAAACGGTTTACGGCTCCATTGTTCGGTGACATTGGCTGTTCGCGGGCTCTTACGCCTATCTTCCCGCCAATGTCGGCCATTGCTGACGCAGTAAAACGGCTCATGTACATGGCACTGCTTGTGAAATGACCGCTCTTATCTGTATGTTATAAATTTTTTCAACATGTTATAGTTAAATATTATAATCAATAAACCTTAAATTATTAAAAACTTCCTGATGGTTTTGCACGGGTGATTTCTGGATCTCTTCAACAAGGTTACCTACCGGGTCTAAATGTAAATCTAAACTATCTAAAAGAATTTCATTTAAATCGGACGAGCCTTTTTTGAGTTTTCTCAAGACTATCGGACAGCAATTGATTTTTTATATTATGGATTTTTTTTTCATTTAAATGTTTATTATATTTATTTATTTATTAGGCCGAAAAGTCCGTCTTTTAAATTAAATTTAAAATAATCATATTCTACCTATTAATTGTTGTAAACACAGGTAACAATAAAATTTTCAGACTCATTTAATTTTAGCATTTTATCCGACCGACATATTTTAGCTGACTAACAAGTTGTTTGTACAAATGAGTATAATTAATTAAAATCTTCTTCGTTGTATTTCAGTCTATTTAAAAGTTCGCTTACGTAATATATTTTTTTATAAAACTGATGTTATAAACGAGCTCACTGGAGCCACCACCTAATGCTCTTATAGTAAATGCACCATTTACTATAAGAGCATCAGGTCATTCAACTCATTGTCTCCTGCAACCAACATCAAACAAAGTATCCTACAAGTGCGCTGTCACCACTATAGAATGAGATGAAATGCCTTACATCTTGTAATTACATTACCTCTCTATACACTTCAGATCGGACACACACATCAGTGAACGCACTACCGAAATAGGGTGATACTTATCCAGACGTACTCCTAGGCACAATAGGCATTTGATAGCAAGATGCACCGCGTGCTACTGAGGTGTGCATTTTCATAAGAAGCTGGTACATTCACAATACATTTTAACGATTCATTTTCAATATTATTTCTAAAATAACCAAAAGTTTTAAAAACATATACAATATTTATTAGTATTGCAGCGATTTATCAAGTCAAATCGACTTGAGACCTACAGTAAATAATTAAAAATTAAAAATTCTGTACAACCGATTACAATATAAATTATTAAGAATAACTCAAAAACTATTGGTCAGATCTTGATCAAATTTAGATGGGACCACATGAGAAGCACCAGCTTTCAAATAAAAAAGGAATCATCGAATTCGGTTCTCCCAGAAAAAAGTTATGAGGTACAGACATATAAAACATACAGTTGAATTGAGTACCGTCTCGTTTTTAAAGTCGGTAGAAAAGTCTCTCGAATGCGATAGAAGTCATTTGAAATTTACACAATTATTACGTATCGTTATTGTAATATTGCCGATATATATATCGGTTTAGGATGCATCCCTAATTTTAACGTTGTTAATTGATTTATAGATCATTGTACAATTTTGTCCAGGAACAAAAAACTATAATGTGTACGATTTCAAATTGTACAGTGATTCACTTGCCATTCTAAAATTTTGCTAGAATTCATAAAATTAATTGTCCTTGTCCGAGTAAGCACCTACATAATATGTACCCGTTCGTCAACATTAGATGACACCTGACACGCACGACCCGATATCCATTGAACACTTGTCGCGGGATGTCATGTTACTTACCAATACATACTTACGTGCGATTGAAGAGGTTACCTATCCGCTCGTTTGGCGCACGTCCTCGTTCACATCCCTTCTTATTCACAAAGTTTCTTTTCGACACATGTTGGTTAAATGAAATTATTATTTGCAATTTTAAATCCTGATTCACCATGTGCTCAGTATATCGTAAGGAAGTCTATACGTTTGGGGAATATAGGTGATAAATTATTCGAGTACATAAGAAGTTCGCCAACACTTACTGCAGCAACGCCGCTGACTAATCGCAGCGTAGCCCTCTCGGAAATAAGAGGAGTCCTGCAGGTTTATTTACAATCGTCTCGGAAAGGGAAATTATGTAGGCACAAAGGAACTTATGTAGGCTGTGACCTTACTTTTAATACCGTCCGTCATCTATCAGAGGCAAGATTAAACATGATTTTCCGGGCATCTAATGGCCTAAGACCCGCCACATAGGTATTTTTGTATTCGTTTCGGGATTCCGTTTCGAAATTCTGATTCGAGATTCCGAAGGCAGCAAGTTCATATAAAATCTATGACCCGTTACATACGTAGGTAGGTACGTTAGTTTTCCGTTCGAAATTTTGCAGACAAAACGGGATTCCGTATGTGTGACCGACCCGTTAGGAATTCCGAAACGGAATCACGAATCGGAATTCCGTATGTATGTGGCGGGCCTAAATCAGCTATTACTTTATCCACTCATTATCGTCATCATTGTCATTATCATCACAGCCTAGCAAAGTCCTTAGGCCTTAAATTGTCCCATAGAGGGGGGGGGGGAATATTTACCATATACGCGAAACATGGCGGTACGGTTGCAACCGCAGTTTTTATTATCTTCGATTGTTATTAGGTAAATACTGCTCTAATCTCCTGTTTTAGTTTATCCCTGTCACCTCTTACGACACCCATGGGACGATATGGGGTATACTGTCACTTAGTCAAGTTAGTTCAAACTTATAATGATATTTACTTAGTAAACATGATGTTTTAGTAGTTATTATAACGAACATCTTTTTTGTAATGAATGAATGTCTCTCATTGTATGAAGACCGTAACTAATATTTTATGCAAACACGATTTTGTAGTTTTGGATTACATTATATGTATGTGTATGCGTAGACTACTTAGTTAATGTAATTTAATTTTAATATTTCATTTTAATTATAATGTCCGAATAGTTTATGCAAATTTGTTTTTCAAAACAAGTAAATTTATAGTCATAAAATAAAACACACCATTTTTAGGGTGACTATCGTTGTATTATTACCATTAATTTGGAGTACTCCGAGGATAAAAAATCAATCCAACGAGATCTCTGCTTCAAAATTTCTCAAGCCGTTTATTAGGAGGGTAAAGAAAATACAAATATACTGGCTGAACAACATTACTCTCTCCTTCTTGTGTTCTACCCGACTGGGTAGAAACTAATTTTTATAATTATAATACAAAAATATTTTTTGTCTTCAGCCGAACGAAGGAGCAGACAATCAGGTAGCGTTCATTCACAGAATACGTAACTCCTTTTGTTCACTGTGACGTTTTTATAAGCGGCCTGCTTGCTGTGTAGAATGCTCAGTGTTGACGCTTTTGTTGATTCAAATGCATGCTTCGCTAGATAAACATCGATTATATCATCGATGTACCAATCAGTCAATAGTATTAGTATTAGAATAATCCGTTTAGAAATATTGACAATATTATTGAAACATCATGATGATCAGCAAAAATAGTGTAATTGCATGTTATTTCTCATAATATTATTTGTTTACCCGAGATTTCGTCTTTGTATTGCAAAATACATTCCACATTGATCGATTGTTACTATTTTTAAACCTTTTTGTGTTATAACATTTATGTATTATTTTATTAACTTAAATTCATTTCACTCTATATACGCCAGTTGTTACCATTATCCTTAAATTGCTAAATGTATCAACATACCTACTGTTCAGTTGTAGTGACTTTGTCAGTTGTAGTGTCTTTCTTGTTAATTTATTTTAAAAATAAAACAAATTTAAAAGTCAAAATTGCATAATGTTTTTTTTAAATATTTTTTTATACATTTACGTACTTAGTTACATTTATCAATTTTTCTATAGAAATAAACTTTTAATTAATGTTTGTATTTTTATTGTCATCATATAAAGATACGTTTAATAAGACATCATAGTGACTAATGCTCATGTCCCTCACAGTTGTTCACGGCGAGCGCGAGTCACATCCAAGATGTGCGTCGCGTGCAGCCCGACACGGGCTTCGCGGAGCCGGCCAACAACAACATCAGCGAGGACAACAACAACGGGCCAATTTCGCTGCGCGAGATGCAGAATATCGCCAACAACAATGCTGCGGCGTACATCGTCAGCGAGAACGAGGAGCGCAACAGAATTAGCCGCGAGTCTGTCGTCGAGTTCGAGCCCCTGCCGGTCGAGCTGCGGGTAGTTGATCCGCTGGAGAGGTGTGCCGACTGGTTCGGTGAGTAGGTTATGCATAGTAGTAATTATAATGATGTTTATTTGTTTGTCTCACAAATTCAGAAGTTGACATAACGTAGATAGATACAGCCTATATACGCTCCACTGCTGGGCACAGGCCTCCTCTCATTTCTGAGCGGGTTTTAGGGTAAGGAAATGTCCGCCGCGGCGCCCCAATGCGTGTTGGCGAACTTCACATGTCTTCGAAATATTTTTTTTCTTATTTCTTTGGTGCCGGTGGTGATCGAATCCAGGTTGCTCGTGTACTTAGAAATTTCTAGCGAGCGCTTAGTCCCTGAGCTACCACGGCTCTTAACATTAACATAACATGCAGGCTAATATTATTAATGTTATATACATATATGCTTTTTTCTTTTTTTTTAAACGTTACTTCCACACTAGATTTTCTCCTGTATCGCGGGTGCTGTTTACAAGAATATACATCCAGACCCAAAACAATTATTTTTAGGCCATACAAATACGTATACCGTGCGGGCTTCGAATCCCTGCAACTCATTCTAAGCCACTGGGCCACGGAGCCGTCAAACTATTGATTATGTATATATATATTTGATTAACTATTACTATGCTACTATCAATTTGTGAGGAACAGGTGTCTATACTAGGATTCCGTGTATGACAGGTCACCAGCCCCCAAGCCCCAAACTACGGGCTATAGAATAATCTAAGTAATATTAGGTGTAAAGTAGTACAAAACCTTTTGTTATAAGTGGCAATTTTCTGCTCCATTATCCTCTCAGAAATGGGAAGTGCCTTGTGCCTGGCAACGGGATGTTTATAAGTTATAATTATGTTAGTACCGAATTGTTTCACATAGTTTAGTGAACCTCGACACTACAATAATTAGCGATCAACGACATCAAGACGAACAGCAAGTGGTCACAATCGCCCATACGTATGGACGTTCATTATTATCGTTACTTATGTAAGATCATCATCAACATTTTTATCGCCTGCGAAGATCAAGATATCAAATACCAGTGCACTTGCACTGTTGTGTTCTAGTCTGAAAGTTATATGGGGCTGATATAAATTACTGGCAGTGAGAAATTCTAAGAGTTAACGCATCTGTAGCCTTCTTTGTTTAAAGTTGGTGGCAGGTGTGCTGCAGTAGCCAGCAGCTCACTATTAGATGGGCTGTAACTTCATGTTTGTAAGAAAAGAACTTTACGCTACTATTCTTAAAAACGACTTTCCTTATTACTAAATACAAACGTCCAAATATTTATATTTTTAATATAATATAGTTAGCTGAATTTAATCGTACTTTATCTCCTGACACGCGGATACTTACTACACATCGAATGAAATAAATTTTATGGGTTTTATCGCCTTTAACTTAAGAAACTTCAAAAAGTTTTTTCCACATGATTCAAAGCTTTAGTTGAATTGGTAAGTTGAAGCAGAGCTATTCAAATGTTTTTAGGGCTAACTAACTTTGATCTGTACGTCAGATTGAAATAGTAAAAACACGTATTAAAATAATTAGAACAAAAATTCAGAATATTCTGTATAGGTATTTTAAAGTTATTGCACACGAATACGACCTCTCGTGGTCTCATATCACACAACACTAAAGCTACTTGTTTTACCTTTTGGTAACAAGTAATGGGTTATGATTCTGACCGCATTATCACGTTAATTAAATGTCTTTGATTAGAAGCTTAAGATCTCCGAGGAGATTAAAAGAAATTAAATAGACATAAAGATGTTTATACTAGTACCATTTTATCGTTCGTCGGCATCTTTTTTTTAAACAAAAATAGTTTAACACGATTTTACAATTAAAGAAAAAAAAATGCTACATTATATTATAACTATTGAGTGAAATAAGCAGACGCATAAACCTATACCGCCTTTTTACATAAAGTAGTTTATAATCAGTCTCAGGTTAAAACTAGAGTTTGTTACAATAAACGAGTCCCGCCAAAAATATGCGAATCAAAACGAAGTATGAAATGTGTTGTTTATGTCAAATTTCGAGAAGACTGGCGCTACGGCCAGGGAATACTTAGTGACAAAGACTCATCTCTAAGGGCTCCTTCACATTGAGCCGCAAGCGACGCGGCAGTAGCAACGCGACAGTCGCGCTGTTCACAGGCGACAGAATTCCATACTAATAATAGCAGCGCGACAGTCGCGCGACACGTGATTGTCATGGCGGACGGATAGCGCGGCAGCCGCGTGCGATCAGTCAGCTTCGAGTCAGTGTTGCAAGCACACGTTCGAAGCATTATTGTACAATGAGCGAATTCGACACAACAATTTATCACTATATATATTATATATATTCGAGGACCGATGATTATAGCAACTAGGCCATAAAAAAGAAAAGCTGGAATGAATTTATCGAATTGTTTATTCTTAATTTAAATTTTTTCTTAATTTTAATTAATTATAGACGCGGTAGAGCCATGCTGCAGCTATATTATGGTTGTAGCACGAATGGGTCGGCTCGACCGGGGAAGGACCACGCTCTCACAGAATACCAGCGTAAAATAGCAGCTTAACGCTGCTGTGTTTCGTATGGTGAGTGTAGAGAACCGGAGACCCTTTTTACTGGAAACGAGGCATTCCATCTTAGTCCTCACGGGTGACAACGCATCTGCATTATGATTCGTAATCGAAGATAGATGTAGATGTCTATGGGCCACAGCAACCACTTACCATCAGGTGGACTGTGTGCTCGTTTGTCACCCTTATCCTATAAAAAAATAATCAACAAAATAAAAAGGTCAGAGAAAAGTGCAGCAGGCATGTTATTATATTATTTATGCGTATTTTATTATTTATTTATTTATTTAACAATTTATGTACACACAAAATAATGTTACAAGGAAGAGAAAAAAAAAGATATTTTGTACAAAGGCACTGCTTATTTCATATTGAAATTTCTTCCAGCAGGCCTGATACTGGACAAATTAAAAGAGAAGCTGATCTAGTGTGCACTCTCATAATAAAATTTTATAATATTAATATACTTAACATAAAGTAAAGATAATAAAAACAAATATCCATGTAAACATACATATAACTAAATACCACTATAAATACATATAATAATATATTATATATATAATCATTGGGACGACAAAGAAAGACAGTGCTCTTTGACTCGCCTTTTGAACACGGACACTGATTGAGCCTCTCGAATTGCAGCAGGAAGAGAATTCCATAACCTAACTGCATGTACTGTAAAAGAGTAAGAATAGAACTTAGTTTTATAGGAAGGGAAATTTAGGAGGGTTTTTAAATGTGATCTGCAAACTGCATCGGGGGAGTGCGCAAAGTAGAATCGATCACGTAGATAGGGTGGTGATGTTGGATTGTATAGTATGTTAAAGAGGAGGCATAGGATTCGGGTATTCCTGCGAAGTCGGATTGGGAGCCACTTGAGCTGTTTGCGATAGGAGGAGCCGTGGTCATACTTTTTTAGTCCGAAAATATAACGAATACATAAGTTTTGCAAGAGCTCAAGTTTGTTTAATTGCTCCTCAGTCGCATCCAAATAACAGACATCAGCATAGTCAAGAATCGGGAAAATAAGTGTTTGGACAAGAGAAATCTTCGTTGATAACGGCAGAAAATGTTGAAGGCATTTTAAGGAATGAAAAGTATAATATATTTTCCTGCTAATTTCTGTGATATGTGCATTCCATGTCAACTTGCAATCCATGATGATGCCCAGATTCTTAACCGTTTCTGAAATGCTTAGTGGAATACCATTAATTTGCAGAGTTGGCAGTGAAGAAAAGTCAAGTAATTTACGAGTAAACCTGGTGCCTATAATCATTGCTTGTGATTTTTTAGGGTTTATAACAAGTCCGTATGATCTAGACCACTCATCTATTTTATTTAGATCGTCATTTATTTCAAGTAATGCTGAATTTGCTTCAGTCACTAGAAAATGACGATACAGCTGCAAATCGTCTGCATAGAGATGGAAGTTTGAAGATATCACCTGGGTGATACAGTTGATAAAGATGGAAAAGAGTAAAGGAGAAAGGACGCCACCTTGAGGTACACCCGTGGCTAGATTGCACCACTTGGATAAAGTTTCATCGATACGAATACACTGAGAGCGGCCACGGAGGTAGGAATCAAACCATTGAATAGTTGAAGGAGACACATTAATAGAATGAAGAATGCTAAGAAGTATATCAAAATCAATAGAATTGAAGGCACTACTAAAATCTAGCAGCACAAGTACCGTTAAATATTTTTGGTCTATACCGCACCGGATATCATCCGTTACCTTGAGGTAACGGATGATATCCGTTATTTATTTAATATTTTCTATTTATTTTAATTATTCAAACAACAAGACTCTCCTAAAGATTCTACCACGGGATTTCCCCTTCGGGCTATACAAAATAGTCGGCAAAAGCGTTACGAATTGTGACTCTTCCTAGGTTGCGGCACCACTAGTTGGATTATACAGTCTAATATTTTCATCCTCGTCTTCCTCTGCGAATACATGTTATAGCGTGTGATTTTAATTAAATCCATCTCGTTGAATTATGCAGAATACAACAAGCCTTTACTATATATTCAGTTAAATTAATTAAGACTTGAAAATATTCTCCATTTACGAGTATTACTTTATATGCCAAACGTGCATTCTATATGTATATCTACGTGCTCTCGACAATCTTTAGTTGTAAATTCTCTGTTTGATAGTCAAATCGTTCCCACCGTATGGATGTTGCATATATCAGAGAGTGCAAAAGCCTCGTCACCAATGAAAATGTAGTTCAGAGGTTGTCCACCACTACAGAGAGGTGCAGGATTAGGTAAATCCACTCTTATTTTCTAATATTGCCTTAAATATTGAATTCTTTTTAAATGTTTGAGAATCAGCACTCTTTCCAAATGATCCTACATCTATGCATGTAAAATAATAATTTGCATCACATATAACTAACAATACCTACAATTGAACAATATTTTTGTAGTGCGCCTCCCTAATCTAAACAAGTCGCACGGCTGTATTTGTAATAAGAAGGCATCCGCTGCAGTCGCGCGGCTGCCGCGCTGCCGCTGCATTATTTGCGACCTAATGTAAAGGCGTTGTAAACCCGAGACTATCAATAAACTGCGTTTTATAATAAGACCTAATGCTTAACAGAATATCACAAAGTTACTATTTATTAGCATCTTTTTGAAACGACTGTGCTACGACCCTCTTACGCATTATCCATTACTACATATTTTAATACATTCCGTATTTAAACTACGCATTGTAGTAGACGATCAGATCAGATTCAGAGTTTTTTCGTTCACAATATTTTCAGAAATAACAAATACAGTTTTCCTCACAATGGTTACTTAACCGGTAAACAAGTGGTAAATCAGCAGGTAAAACTTGAACTTGACAATTTCAGCGGTCAGGGATCGAAAAAAATACTCTCGAATACGATGAAAATTTCGGGATCATTTGCTGGACATAGTTTTAAAATTGCTAATTTGTCATCATCATCATCATAGTTTCTTTTTTATTATTGTTATATTTAATATTCAACATTCATTTTTTTTCATTATTACATTAATAATGTTAACTTAAAGTTCTTACGTAAATCGTGTAATGATTTCTTAAATTTACCATATTAGTTGTAGCACGAATGAGTCGGTTCGACCGGGGTGGAACCACGCTCTCACAGAATACCAGCGTAAAATAGCAACTTAAGGCTGCTGTGTTTCGTTTGGTGAGTGTAGAGAACCGGAGTCCCTCTTTACTGGAAACGAGGCATTCCATCTTAGTCTTAATGGGTGACAACGCATCTGCATTTTGATTCTTAATCGAGGATAAATTTAAATGTTTATGGGCCACAGCATCCACTTACCATCATGGACCGTGTGCCCGTTTGTCACTTGAAATCTGTCCAGTATCGGGTTTGCTGGAAGAAATTTCAATATGAAATAAGCAGTGCCTTTGTACAAAATATCTTTTTTATTTTTCATTGTAACACTGTGTTAAATTCTGTCCATTGTTCAAACCATTTCCCTACCCCCACGTTTGGCGGGTAGATTGACGACTGTAGCAGTAGCAGTAGTTAGATGCTGCTCCCTTTCGCCAGTTGTTTTTTTACGCCTGATGTAATGGGGATAATTAAACTGCAATCTGATCGAAAATCATGAAATCTCTCTGGCACTTCGACTTAGTTAAAATTATTAACGACTTAGTCACGCCGTCATTATATCTTTATTGACTTACTTCTTCAATATCCTTTCATTCCAGGTGATGAAGATTTTCCTAGGAACCGATTGCAGTATCTGCGCGAGATAGGAAGAGGATGGTTTGGCAGGGTAATGTATATTGAATTCAAATATATCATCATCATCGTCATTACAGCCCATCAAAAGTCATCCGCTGAACATAAGCTTCATCATAGATTGCCTCATCACGCTTCGCAAGTGCATTGGCTACCGCAGTGTTTTATTCTTTCATTCTGTCGCCACTTAAGGCACCCGCGGGAAGATATGGAGGTAGTGGATTTTCATGCGCCGCCACTACACGACTACTTTAAACTAAAGCAGTACTTTTAGATATAGAATTATTCATATGCTCATATTTTAGTAAATGTCGTTTTATTTTGTAATTAATAGGGTTTCATTAGCTAATAATACTATATCTTGGTTATCCCCTAAAAGTTAAGGTAAGCCATTAATATAGATAAAGAATAGGAATGGGCCAAATATTGAACCCTGAGGAACACTAATTGATACTACTGACGCCGAAGAAGTCTCACCGTTAATAAAAACTTTTAGAGTTTTATTACCTGAATATAAACCTGAAGAATTAATAAATTTAAGAGCAAAATTTCTCATGAACATGTTATATAATATTATGTGTGTCAAATTTCATACAAATGATTTTAACGATTAATTCTTAATTGAGTCTATAAATTCTTGTCGGCTGGCACATTCTCGGAAAGACTTATGTACAGCTTGTTTATCCCTTGAACTACCTTGACTCCTTCAATATGTTTTTATTAGCAAGTTGATCGAGTTTAAATATTTCCATTAGTGATGTATTAATATTTTATAGACAAAAAACAAATCTTGATTTCGACACAGAACACAGTACACTTATATGGTATTACGTTAAACTTGTTATCCTAGTACCTGTTATTTTCACATTCAATACCAGAAGTATTGTACTGCGGTATCGGAAATAAGTCAACTCATTGTAAGCTAAGGATAGTCCACATCGCTGATTTTCAATGAAGCCAACTTTGTGTGACGTACGGCCAACAAAATAGTTTTCATTTGTACAATGTAGGTACATTATTTTCATGCGCAATCATGTAACACAACCAAGGCCCAACCGGTTATGAGATGAGTCATTTGTTACCTTGTCAGTAACTACACCTGCATACTAGTTTTAATGCATAAATAAATTTGTTTTGTTTGCAAACGTGCATTTGTCTACTGCCTTTGCGCTTTCGATTTTTTGTCGAAAATCACGGTAAACAGCAGATTAATGCTGTTGTGTTTCGTATGGTGAGTGTGGAGAACTGGAGACCCTATTTACTGGGGCATTCCATCTTAATCCTTAGGGGTGACAACGCATCTGCATTTCTATTCTTAACCGAGAATAGATGTATGTAGATGTCTATGGGCCACAGCATTCACTTACCATCATGTGTACTGTATGCTCGTTTGTCACTCTTATTCTATAAAAAAGTTATAGAAATTAAATGAGGGATGTTGCAATTGAGTAATTGACACCGTAAATAAATGTGTTAAAGAATATGCTACTTGTAGAAGCGTCTCTTAACTTGAATATTTTCCATTTAAAGTTCCTAAAATTAGACAATCGTTATAATACGTAAGGTTTCGTGTCCCATGAACCAGTGGTAAAAGCATAATCAAATAACTTTAAATTAGAATTACTTATAATCTATTCATTAATCACATTATATGATGAAATTCACAAGCAAATTTACATGCTTTTTTCTTATTGACGTGTATAATTAATACAATATACGTTTGCCAAAATTAGAAAAATGTAAAATTAGTTATGGTAATTTATCAGTCTTTTTAATTGGGTGAGAAAAATAAATGAAACAAAATTCAATGTTTATTAGCTGCCTTCATTGCTTTATAAATTACTAATATTTAAAATGAAACTTATCGAGAAAAAAATATTATAAAATGTTAAAAAGTGACAATCTAATAAATACTTTGTATTGACTTCTGCCGTGTACCATTTTAATACTTTTATATTTTTTTATATAGGATAAGGGTGACAAACGAGCACACAGTCCACCATAGACATCTACATTTTTATCCTCGATTCGAAAATGCAGATGCGTTGTCACCCCTGAGGACTAAGATGGAGTGCCTGTTTCCAGTAAAAAGGGTTTCCAGTTCTCTACACTCACCATACAAAACACAGCAGCGTTAAGCTGCTATTTTACGCTGGTATTCTGTGAGAGCGTGGTCCCCGGTCGAGTAGACGCATTCGTGCTACAACCATAATGTAGCTGCAGCATGGCTCTACCATGTAAAAATTATTAGTACACTATTGATTATAAAGTGTACCTTCTTTGTCGCAGTATTCCGGCCCCGCATAAGCGTTTATTATTTTAGGATATTTGTTGAATTGGGAAAATGGGTTCTCGGCAAAGATTTTTTCTTCTATCGCCAGCCAGAAAAAGTCCCGCTGCGTTTTCACACTTGTCAGACGGATTGACACAGATCCAAACGATGTAAGGGAAACCGATCGATCGATTTATTAGTATCGATCACTAATAAAAAAGTAGATACACAATCTTATGCATAAGTTCTATAAAAACTGTCGCCAATTGTTTTGACGTAATTATTCTACTTGAAATAAATATACATTAATGTAAATTCAACCTTAAATGCATTGTCGTTGTATTCACAAAGCTACGTATAAATTAAAAGCGCACCCAAATGTTCGAGTGGGCGCTCATTCGGTAAGGACATTTTATCACCGATCGTGTACATCTAGTTTTTTTTTATTAGTGATCGATGAAGCTACATGATTGTATCACCACCGAGGTCATACAACTCTGGTCGTCGTGTTTAACGATACTCACGGAACAAAATGGGGTGATAGACTTCTTACGCTGGCACAAACACCGTTTTGAACCTCAAACAAGCTTGACTCATGTTAATCAATTTTTTTTCGTTACAGGTGGTAGAGGGAGAATTAGAAGGGAACACGTCCGGCACGGTCGCCGTAAAAATACTTAACCAGAATGCCAATTTAGAGGAAAAGGCGCGGTTTCTGGACGAGGCCAAGATATACCGTAACGCGAGACACGAAAATATCCTCGCGTATGTAGCCAAGTGTCTACAGGAGGATCCATGGATATTGCTGTTTGAGCTGTGCTCTATGGTGAGAATTTGTAGCAGCACTAATTTCCTATACCATAAATCATTTTGTGATAATGATACTTAGGTAGTTATGTTCTTTATAAGTGACAAATATACTATTATTCCATCTGATAGTTAGTGTTTTTGCAGGCCATAGATGCGTCTATAACCTGGCTCTTTTAACTTCAAATCGGATCACAACAGTGGGTGTATTGTTGTTTGGAGCCAGAAATAGGCAAAAGGATCATACAAACACACACCATCTGAAAATAAAAAGGATGTACAAAACACATGTACTCGTATGATTGTCATTTTTTTATAAACCTGAAGTAGCAAACCACTTACAGACCACCTGACGGTAAGTCACGACTGCAGTCAATAAACACATGCGGTCAACTTCAAAGAACGAAGGCCACTGATGTCTTGTCACTTCTGTGGACTAAGATGTAATTCCTCCCAGCCTGCATACCCTTTAGACTAGACAACAACAATTCAAACATTTCTGTTTGGCGGTAGAAATATGTAAGGGGTTGTTAACATAAAACGCTATAAAATAACTAAAATTAATCCAATCTACCTATTTCAATATTGGTGAGAATTCTAATCTTTTCTACGGCATATATGCTGCAGAACTAAGTCTCCTTGCTAATTTAGATATACAGTCGCAGAGGTCAGCTTGGTCTACTAGCTGAATGGAACCTTCCTACCGGATACCTTTGATGTTGTTTCCCATTGCCGTTCAGGGTGTTTTACGACTAGCGTGACTACCTCGTTGGTTTAGTGGTTGTAGTAGTGCGACTGCTGATCATGAGGTCCCGGATTCTCTCCCGGGTCGGTCCAAAAAATCAGTTATTGAGATTTTCCATCAAGAAATTCTCAGTAGCTGCCCGGAGTCAGGAAGTTGGCGGTTCTCATCCCCGTGCCCCGGAAGTAAAGCCGGTTAGTCCTGCGCCTAATCTCTCTCTGATCGTGTCGGTTTACCGTCCCATCGGACTATGAGAGTGAGGGAATAGAGAGTGCACCTGTGCTTGCGCATACACTTGGGCACTATAATCCTGTCCTGCGCCGATGGCTAGTCTCCGTTGCGGCTGGCCGCCGTGACCGAAGTTCGGTCTGGAGGACATTATTATTATTTATTACGTCTAGCGTATAGAGGAAATGGTTACACCACTATCTGAAGCCATAAGATCCTTGTAGCATTTCATATGGTCGCCTATTACGACACCGACGGGCCGATATGGGATAGTGGATATTCTTACGGTACGTAACAAACCAACGTACCAAAACCGATTTTGTCGGCCGATGGCGGACAGAACTACCCGGAGAAGTAACTCGGACGTGTATGTGCTTACACTGCATCAGTGTATCACTTGCGCCGACATTGAACGTTGCCGGTATTCTGTAGTTGACTGTGTTGCTTAACAGAGTGAAGACGCATTTTTTTAAATATCTGGAACCGCTATATCCATTTCCGATCCAACTTCAGCCCATTACCGTTTTGAAAAATTCTCGATTATTGTAATTGTCTATTATATACACAACTAATTAATTTTTCAATATCCATAGTCGTTTAGGTAGATAACAACACTGACAAAAACAATAAAATAAAGACAAAATGATTAAACTATAAATACACTCAATTTGCTCTGTAGACGCCGGCAATCTGGCGAGAAATCCCAACAAGTTCGGACTCAACGGTTGATCGGCCGATTTTGTGCGTCATCGGACGATGACTGTCATGTTTGTGTACGCACTCCCTTTCTTTTACAAGTGTTTGATTCGATCGTCCGAGTTCGGCCGTCAACGCCCGAGCAAACTTCGGCCGATGACGGATTAGGTGTACGCGTACCCTTACACCGCCACTACACGTTTTTATTTATCCATTCACTTACATTTTGTTTACTCTCAATTATTCATTCATACATTCGTTACAGCCTACAAAACTATCGAAAGTCTTCCGCTGAAATTAGATCTCCTCCAAATTTTTCCTCGTGGGGTTTCCCTCTTGACGTAGGTGGCAGTAACATAGTTGCCGGTCGCCCACCGCAGTTTTTTTTTAAATTATTTTTAGTTGTAGATAATCCTCGACGAAGGGCGTTGATTTTCACACATTGCAAGACTGTTCGCGTATTATAAAAATCCTAACAAGATTATGGAAAACTTGCAAAGTTGGACGAAATTTCTCCAATCCGCTCTCCTTGAAACACGATATCGATTACTCCACTGCGCCGTTACATTTCTCACAGCTCTAACAAAATATCGCGTTACAAATCGCTTACATAACTCTCATAAAATCGTATCACACGAAATCAAACCATACACGTGACCGTCACGGTTACGGAGTTATGCCCAGTGCAATTACTTCGTATAGCCGACACGTGGCCGCACTCGGAACTGACGACCGTGCGTGGAATACCTAATAAGTCTACACATTTATCAATGGAACAGTATTTATGAATCATATTCTTAGTCTTCTTTATTAATCACTTGGTAATTTACATGTTATGCATTGTATCATTCACATTCTACATCAGAGATTTTATTACATTTCTTAAGTATGGCATAGACGAGTTGATTATTCCGCAAAATATCAATTAATATAATCTTTACGAGTAGTTAAAATTAAATCATTTAGTTCTTTGTAAGAAATTGTATGAAAATAACAGAAAATGACTTCATCTTTTCTTGAAGTCAAATAAATATTATATTTGTATATTTTTAAATATTTGTACATTTTTAAATATAAAAAAAAAATATTTTAGTAAAAGCCGATTTCAAAGAGCGTAACTGGAAAGTGGCAAGACAGCCCCGAGATATTTTCTTTTCTTAATTTTTATTTATTTATTTTAAAAACGTTACCTCCACACTAGGATTTTCTCTGTTCTCCTGTATCGTGGGGGCAGTTTACATACATAAATTTCACAAGGACAAAATCCAAACCCGGAATAATTATTCGTAGGTCATACAAATACTTGTTCTCATACAAATACTTGTTGGCACAGCAGTTCATTGCTAAGCAACTGCGCCACGGAGACATCAATAGTTCATGGAAATTATTTTATTCTTCTTATTTCTTTGACGTCAGCTTTTACTTTTTTATAAAAGTTTAATTATTTAACCCTTTTGAGTGGACTGAGAATTATTCCAACCTCAAGGTTACAACTAGAATGTCATCTCAATTGGTACATTTTAAAATTCATCCTTCGGTGTTTTATTTTTTCTCCAAATATATACTGTACTAATATGGAACCTTCCCTGAAGTATAATATTTTTTTGTAATAAAAATTATAAAATAATCGTAAAAGTCGGTTCATAAGAAACATTATCCACATAGTAATATTAACTTTGTAGGAAACATAGTGAACCTACTGTAGCTGTGTAGTGGCCGAAAATAATCCACTACCCCATCTCCCATCCCGTGGGTCACATCAGAGGCGGCACTGAGAAATGAAACGAGAGATCAGCAGCCGCATTTTCTTGATAAAAACTTAAAATAATAAAGAACTGCGGTGGCCAACCCGCGCCTGACAAGTGTGGCAACTGTGCTATTACTGCCACCTATGTCAAATATCGGCCCTATGAGGCAATCTATGGAGAAAGTCTGTGTTTATCTGTAAACTCTTGATAAGCTAAAATGAATTAATAAATTATTGAGAGTAAACAGGGTAAGAAAGATAAATAAAAATTAGTCAAATTAAGTCTACTGCCGAACATAGGTCTTTGAGCAGATTGTTGGCTGATTTATCAACTAGCTTTTTGTTATGAAATATAAAAGATATGCCATGTGTTGACTACGTAAAAGAAAATGTCGCCCTGTTTTATGCAACGGTTATCTAGAGAGGCGACTATGAAAAAGACCACAAATACCACATTGCCTACAATATTTGAAGGTACAAGCATCTTGTATATACCATTACAGACTATAAAAAGTCCACTGCTGAACATAGGCCTCCATGGACTGCCTCATGAGTGGCATTTTGTTATAGTGCCACGTTTGGCGAGCGGATTTTCAACTGCAGTTATTTTTATTTTTTAGTAGTTACTAGGAAGATGATGCTGTCTGTTTCCCTCTGTCGACTCTTACGACACCCACGGAACGATAAAAGTTGTGGATATCCTTACACCGCCACTACACGTTCGCTATCTTGCATATGCTCGATGGAAGATATTAAAACGTGGGGAGATATCTGAGACTACGAACAAAATCTGTTTACAGCTTATAACGTAATTTATTTATTAAAAGAAAAAAGAATTACAAAATTAATGTACATGAGAAACTTACTTTGTCATAAAGTTATATATTTTATCCAGCGAACGTAAGACACACTAAGGGATTATATCACTTACATACTATACTTATAAAACATAACATAATCCCTCCTGTCACCCGGAGAGGTAGGCAGAGACTACGGTCTTCCATTTAGCACGATCCTGACACACCTCTCGCCTCTACATCCATATACTTACATGCTCGTTTTTTTTTTATAGGATACGTGTGACAAACGAGCACACAGTCCACCTGATGGTAAGTGGTTGCTGCGGCCCATAGACATCTACGTCTATCCTCTATTACAAATCAAAATGCAGATGCGTTGTCACCCGTGAGGACTAAGATGGAATGCCTCATTTCCAGTAAAAAGGGCCTCTGGCCACATGCACTCACCAAGCGAAACGCAGAGGTAAACCTCTACTTCACGCTGGTATTCTGTGAGGTCGTGGTACCACCCCGGTTCGAAACGACCCATCCGTGCGACAGCAAAAGCCGCCACGTGACTCTACCACTGTTGAAAAAACGTCAAGGATCGTCGATTTAGGATACTCTTAATTTGGTTCATTTTCAATATATCGCCAACTTATACTATAAAATTTTAAAACTTCTATAATCTATTAAATAACAATTTCACAAGCGTAGCGATAACGGTAAATCCTTCTTACAATGGTAGAAGCCCAGTTATAAACTGTAATGTGCTGATAATGAATAAGATGAAGATACCTTATCTCAGTGAATCATGTTCTGTCATGAATGACAGACTTGAGATATTTATATAGACGATTGGAAGTCTATCTATGGTACGAAATTCATTTAACTATGAAAATTACTTACAAACACTTCTTAAGTGTTACAATAAAAACATAATTAAGAATAGATGCTCGTGATCGGATATGGACTATGGATTGCGTTTTAAAAAAATATAGTGTTGACTTGTATTATGTTGAATTGCAGGACTTACAACAGTACCTGATACTAAACCGTCCCAAGATGGCGATACTCAACGAGAGCGGCGTGCCATTACAGCTCATGTGTGACGTCACGTCCGCACTCGCCTATCTGCACTCGCGGGGAATTTTGTATGGGTATGTTTTTCTTTTTTCTTTTTTTAATAAAACTGAAGTCACAATCGAACCTGACGGTAAGTGATTATTGCAGTCCATGGACACCTACAGCCAACCTCAAACAAGAAAGCTTATAGATGCTGTCACCTCTGACGAGTGAGATGGAATGCCTCTCAAGTCTCAACCTATTATTATATTTACTCACTTTAAACTTTTTTCGCTAACTGGCGGCAGAAATATGTGAGAAAGCTAGAGAGAAATAAAGAGTACCATCTCAGTCTACATTATCACTTACCATTTAGTGAAACAATGTTTTACTATAGAATGCCATACTATTTAATATAGAAAATACCAGAATATATAAATTTTAAAGAGAAAACAAAGCGGTCTTATTGCTACACAACAATGTCTGTCAGAAAACCGAATAATGGATTAAATAAGAGGGGGCAAAGATTTATAGGTAGGGTGCACTATAATGATAGAATAGATTATTGAAAGTCAATTTGTACTTTGCCACTGGTTCGGAAAAGCCTCTGTCCTGGCAAGAACCATGAAGAATTCTTGCGTGACTGATGTGTTAACAACTTATACTAAGACAACAGTTATAGGTATACTAGTGATCTTCTAGTGGTCAAAATTCGAACGTAATTAATTGAATTTTTTAATTTTGTATATTGAAATACATGCTTATAATACATGTTTATAATGTAAACATGCTTGCTTAATAAAACAAGCATGTGTTTCACTTGGAATTGCACATTAAAACACAGATATCTTATATACTTATTATATAAAATAAAAATGTTTTTGCTTCGACACAGATTATAAAAAAGGAACATTTGAAATCACACAAAATTAAGTAGTGATTATTTGTTAGTAACATTTTAAAATTCTTTGTCAACTCTATGCGACTGTTTGCACACAGATTATTTTGTGTTTGACGTTGATAGTATGAACGTAAACAATAAATATTTTTTAATTTTATTCTTTTTTTTATTCTGTAATTGGAACACATATTATACTTATACTTTCAGCTTTTTGCACTCCTTCATTTAAACTTTAACTGTTCCAAATCTCTATATGTCACCCACATACACTCCAAAGGTTTTTTTTTTAATTTGAAATTAAACGGGATAAAATCTTAAAAATTAGTTTATTCCATGTGTAGTATTCACGTCAATATAAGAAATCGTTCTACCATCGGACAACCAGATGTTCGATCAGTCTCTACGCTTTTCTTGTTGATTTACTACGCATTTGAACCAAACGGTTTGCTACATCGTTCGTCATGCATACAGCAAAGGAGTGGAATAAGTTGCCAGTATCTGTTTTTTCATCCGATTGTAATGTGAGTGTTTTTAAGGCAAAAGTAGGTTTTTGTTAAGTCAGTCTGTTTTCACTATCTTAGGCTATATCACCACTTACCATCAGGTGAGGTTGTAATTATGCGCTGGTTTAGGGCATAGTTTAAAGAGAGTCTAACAGTTGGAAAATGAACGTACTTGTGTAGACCAACGGCGGGGGTTTTGCGCGGCAGGGGGCGGTGCGACTTTGTGCCAGTGCACTTCACTAAGTTTGCTGTACATGTGGATGACGCGAACGTGTTTTATAGCACCTATTTCACTAATTTTAAATGCTGTTTTTGAAAAATGTAATGTCTATAATGGTAAATTACCGCTATTTAACTTATAAATATGTATATAATATTTATAATATATAACGAGTATTGTAATATCCAAAAATATTTTATTCTCAATTACATACATTACGTAGCATATTATTGAGACGACGGCGCAAATAGTACTCATGTGGCCGGCAGCATCGCCTGACATCAAAAGCGTTTCACAACTGTTATTTATTATAGATATTAGATAGATAGGTAGATAACGAGTATTGTAATATACAAAATTATTTTATTCCCAATTTCGTGACAACCCCTAGCATATTATTGCGACCGATGGTTTAAATAGTAAATACATACCTATGCGGGTGGCAGCATCGCATGATATCAAAGGCGTTTCACAACTGTTACTTATTTAACATTTAAATAAGTAATAGTTGTTATTTATTTAAATGTATAATATATAATGCCACATAACATTTCACGGATCAGTCAGTAATAAACGCCCGTGACGCAACTTAATGTGTTCGGAACATTTTTTCTTTTATATCTTTAGAGTCGATGATACAAATGGGCCAAATGAAACATATCAGTGTTTCGGAACATTTCAGTGATCAAGATGCAAATTTTCCAATCCCAAAAATGATACACATTGCTCACCTTCACAGTGTAGCGTACAAGGTAGATATAAGTTGGATGAATAACTAATTTTATTTCTAGAAAATTGTATTGATTTCCAACGTCCATGACAGCGAAATATGATAGTAGGTACAAACGGGACATATTATGCAAAAATACCGATACGAGTACAAAAATAAACATAAATCAAAATATTTATCTTTGTACTGACTAACTATTGTAGACACGCGAGGAGTGGCTGTTACTTATTTAACAGTTGTGAAACGTTTTTAAGTGTTTACGGCTTAGAATAGTAAAAAAAATGTTGAGTGAATGATGAAGGGTGTAGAAAGTTTAGCGTGCACGTATTAATATATGAGGTGTTGCAGGGCGGTGTGGAGCGGCGCAGTGCTGGTGCGCGGCGGCGACGCGAGCGCGCGCGCCGTGCTGGGCCGGTACGCGCCGCACGAGCGCACCGCGCACCCCGCGCACCCCGCACACCCCGCGCCCGAGGCCCGCCGCCAGCCGCCTGAACACACGGTCAGTTTTGTTTTTAAACAAACTACCTTAACACACGGTACGAATTTGGCAGATGGGAGCCAGGCGAGAAAAGTGTAAGATTTTTCCGTCACAACCCCTTCTGACGTAATGCAGACGGCCTTGACGGCTATAAAGAAACGAGATGGAATGATATCCATCTCCCTCGCACTTTTTCCTATCTTCATCATTACAGCCCTTCACAAGTCCACTGCTGAACATAGGCCTCCCCCAAAGAATGCCACAAAGCACGGTCCTGAGCCACCTGCATCCATCGACTTCCTGCATGTCTTACCAGGTCGTCACTCCATCTCGTGGGGGGACGCCCTACACTTCGCCTACCGGTACGAGGCTGCCACTCGAGAACCTTTCTTCCCCATCGGTTGTCGGTTCTTCGAGCTATATGGCCGGCCCACTGCCACTTCAGCTTACTAATTCGTTGGGCTATGTCGGTTATTCTGGTTCTACTGCGGATATCCTCATTCCTAAGTTTATCACGCAGAGAAACTCCGAGCATAGCCCTCTCCATAGCTCGCTGAGCGACCTTGAGCTTCCTCATACGGCCAGCAGTGAAGGACCACGTCTCAGTTCCGTAAGTCATCACTGGCAACACGCACTGGTTGTACAATTTCGTTTTAAGGTTTTGAGGTATGTCTGACGAGAATATGTGTCGTAGCTTCCCGAACGCTGCCCAACCGAGTTGAATCCGTCGATTGACCTCTCGTTCGAAGTTGGACTTACCTTGTCGGACTATTTGTCCCAGGTAAACATACTCGTCAACAACTACTCTAACTAACTTTTCCTATCTTACCATAAAAGAAACATTATTTTATTATAAATGACGCCTCATTATAATAGACGCTAGTAATTCATTTATTTGTATTTATTAATCAATAATATAATACGTTTATTAATAATAATATACTATGAAAGAAACTTCGTTTCAACCTAGTGTTCTACGACACTCAGGCATGGTTTTTTGTATAAAATAAGAGTGACCAACAAGCACACAGTCCACCGAGTGGTAAGTGGTTACTGTGGCCCATAGACATCTACATCTATCCTCGATTACAAATCAAAATGCAAATGCGTTGTCAGCCGTAAGGACTAAGATGGAATGTCTCGTTTCCACTAAAATGGATCTCGGGTTCTCTACACTCACCATACGGAACAGCAGTATCAAGCTGCTTTTTTACGCTTTGTACTCATTCGTACTACTACTATACTACTAATATAGGTGCAACATTGCTTTACCATGTATATAAGTTGTACGATGTACCCGCATCATTAATACACTCGTGAGCAAAAACATCGACTCAGGACGCACGCTCGCAGTTAAAGTCTAGTAGTGAAAAATCTGAAACTTTCATTCTATTTCTAATTTTAACATCTCAAAGCGGTCTTCGATAGTTTTTTAAATTTAGTTTTGGTAAGGAAAAAATATTAAATGAGAAGAAGTCATAAACAATGAAACAAGGTGATAATTAACAGTAAAGAAAATTCAAGCTTAATTTCGTCAAAATATTAATTTAATTGAAATTAACTTATCAATATTTAGTGTCCTCTCCCCTGGTCCTAATAACAGCTTCCAATTGCTTCTTCATGGATCGAATAAATTTCTTTACCCGATCTTGTTCAATGCTACCCCATTCTTCAATGAGCGCTACTTTGAGGTCCGATTTCGTGGCTGGTGCAGGATTTCTAGCCCGAACTTTTCATTTAAGTTCATCCCACATATGGACGATTGGATTTAAGTCTGGGCTACGCGCTGGCCAGTCCATAGCAGCTATTTCGACCTCCTGTAAATACTGCATGACGTAACCTGCAGTATGTGGACTGGCATTGTCGTGCATTAAAATGAAGTTTTCGCTGATAAAACAGGCGTAGTGAACGACGTGATCCCCTAAAATCTCTTCGATGTATCGATTCGCCGTCAATCCTCCCACTCGACCGCCAGTTTCAATAAAAACCAACTCGGTTTTTGCATTCATTGAAATGCCTGCCCACACCATCCAGAAACCTCCTCCAAAAGCCACATTTTCTTTGATACAGCACTGCGTGAATCTTTCTCCGGGTCTTCTCTAGACTCGTCCTCTTCTATCGCTACCATGCAAGCACACTCTGCTTTCGTCTGAGAAGAAAACGGAGCTCCATTGTTCGTCAGTTCAATCAACATGTCCTCTGGCAAATCGTAGGCGGGCTGCTGTTAATTTGGGGCCAGTAGGTGGCCTTTTTGGCTCAAGGTTAGCTGCCTTAAGTCGTCTTCTGACTGTCCAGCCAGTCACAGCCACTCCTCGCGTTTTTTCTGAGCTCTTGTTGGACTTGAACGCCAGTGAGGGCCCGATTTATCAGCGATGTGCTGACAATGAATCTGTCATCTCCCTCCAATGTGCAGCTTTTTCTTCGACAACCGCGTCTTTGATTATAGTTACCAGTCTTTTGGTAACGATGGTAAACTCTGGAAACAGCAGACTGGCTTATGTTTAGCGCATGTGCCACTTCACGCTGAATCTGGCCTTGTCGCAATAGGGTGACCGCTTGAGCAGCTTCATCACTTGTTGTGTCAATTTTCAGGTAGAATTCTTGTTAGTTAATAAAGGAGATGTGTATCGGTTGGCGTTTGACGGATAACTGATAAGGATGGGTCAGGTAGATAACCTTTTATATGTGTCAGTAAACCTTCATTAGCGCTATTGTAAACAAGGTTAAAAAGGGTGGTTACCGATCACAACATATTGTTGGGTTGTGTGAGCAAGAAACATTACAATATTTTATAATCATTTTGAAGCTAATAATAGCTTTAACATTTTACTAAGAAAAAAAACATAAAAACATTTTCGCGTTCAGTGTTTTTGCCAGTGACTTGCGACTGCAAGTGTGTTGCCTAAGTCGATTTTTTTGCTCGCGAGTGTATTTTTGCCAGCCATTGCAGACAATATATAAAAAATAAAAATTAATGTTTGTTTGTTCGTATTTTATGAGCTGTCATAATACCATTCATCAGATTGCGATAAAACTTATTGTTGGCATTTTCGCGAAGAATGTAGGAATAGGAATAGTAGTACAATTAAATTACAATAGGTGGCGCGCGTATCGTAGAGATAAATTTATTTGAAAGTTATTTGTCATTGAAGTTCAATTATTGTATTATCATTCTTAGTTAAACAATATAACAATTCCAACTCTAAAACGATATATACACAATTGTTTCTTCTGCAGCGGCAACACGCCGGCTAGTAATTTATAAAATTTTATATGTGGTATAACCACGCTCTCTCAGAATACCTTTAATTTCTTTAATGAAAAAGACTTCTTAAACCACAGCCTAAACCCAAAACTATTTAAAATATTACGTTTTATTATTAAACGACTAATGTTTAGTGCAGCAAAAAAGAAACTTTTTACACTACTTTGAAAGAAATAAAAAAAAATAATATAATGATTATCATTTTAAAATGCAAAACAATACGAATTTTAGGTTCAGTGCTCAACTGTAATTTTTTTTTCAGAGCAAAAGTGAAGTGTGGTCTCTGGGCAGTTTAATTTGGGAAATCTGTGCGTGGGGCTCGCAGCCGCCCGCTCCACCTCCGCCATTGCCCGACTTGCCTTGTCCCTACCGCACACATCTGTAAGTAACCATATACTTTGTCATAGACAAATTGACTCGTATTTCCACGTATTTATTACAAGATCTTATTCACGCTTGATTCTTATTTTTTATTTGATTCGTTCAATTGTTTCGTTTATCCTACATACATTTGTTGTCGCTGAGAATGCTAGAATTTATTTTTAGTCATATGTTTTATTAAAAAGGAATTTGACCACTATCACATAAATAATAAACAAGAGCTTGACTATGGTGATGCAATTTTGGGTATAGTTGTGGGAGGTAAACAATTTTTTTTATAGAATAAGCGCTACAAACGAGCACACACCACCTGATGGTAAGTGGATGCTGTGGTCCATAGAACACCTCGTGTCCGGTAAAAAAGGGTCTCCGGTTCTCTACACTCACCATACGAAACACTGCAACAATAATCTGGTATTCTGTAAAAGCGTGGTCCTATCCGGGTTGAAGCGACATATTCTTGCTATAAACATAATATAGCAGCGTGAATCTACCACATATAAAACGCACTAGCTTAGTTAAAGTCTTCTCACCCATTGAAACATAACCCATATTCCAGTTAATAGTCAAGTCAAGCCTTACCATGCTTACTTTAAAGCATAAAAACCAATTTCAGATAACTAAAATTAATAAAATGATTTCCACACTTCTTTTTTAGGTTTACTTTTTCACCATAGTAAGAGACTACAGAGGGAACTAACCAGGAGATGACAGCAGCGTCTACTTAATACAAAATAAAACTGTAATAACTCATTAGCCAAGCGTGACAACTATGGAAAATATCACCATCCTTCCCAAGAAGCAATCGATGATGCCCTATTTTTCCACCATTAGGGGTGGATTTTTTTCTCCAAATTCGAATCGATTCACGATTGAAAAAGATTTATTGAGGTCGGCTAAAAAGTCGGTCGGTCGGTCGACCTTACACACTAGTTCACACTGATTCGAACTGATGACACTAATTATGGACCGCGAACATTCTTTTTACATATTATTTGAATTCACTCTGTGAAACTACTCGACTTCTCTAAAATTGGCTATGCCGTTATAGTGCTTTTTCTTGTTATTTGTGAAACTAATTCATTTGTTTTTTTTAGATATCAAGTAATGCAACTATGTTGGAACCCTAACCCCGATGGTCGACCTTCGGCCGCTCAAGTTCACGCCTTGCTAAATCACCTGCACAGTACACATATACACAGCGAAACGGCGCAAGACGACGGTTATGGAAGCAGCGATTTTGAGGAGCGATGGCAAAGACTCAAGCCTAACACAATTCCTAAAATAGACGAACACGTAGCTATAGTCCACGCACCGTCCACGTCGATGACATCACATTTCACAGGATCCGACCAAGAATTTGATAGCGCTCCCACTATGCAGGATACGCTCAGCGTCGATTTAGACACGGCTGTCTCCCGATCTAGTAGCATAATGTCTGACAAAGACTCACTACCTATTCAAATGAAATCGGCAAGCCTGAATAATCTGCACGGGTCGCTAGATGATGTTAGAAACATCTATCTAACGCATAACGAGACTGCTGCAATCGAATGCCATCAAGGAAACGTAAGCCTCGATGATACTAAAGATAAGGATAATGATCACTCAGACAGTTCGATGGATCCGTGGTTGAAGGATATTATCACAGGAAGCCAAGACGATGTTAGTTACTACAAGGATGTGAGTGACGTCATTAAGAATCTCGATAATATATTAAATTCAGAAAAGACTTCTAGCTCTGAATCCAGTCATCAAGCAAGCCCTTCGAGAGATAACTTAAGCTTGGAATGTAAAAAAGATTATCCTGTGCAAAAAAGTATGGTTAAGTCGCCAGGGATTAGTAATTTCCAAAACATTCTAGAAATAGGATTTGATACCGAAGCCCAACAAAATGAGGCCTGTGAAGACGATGATGTAGATCGCGATACTATCGGTACTCTGAGCCACTCTTTTGAACGGCATAGTGATTCAATCAGCCAACATACTCTAGAAAATTTAACGCCCGAAACACCCATAAAAGATTTTGATGTTATAAAAGGAATTGAAGTTGAACCTGAATCCACGCATAAGCATGTAAATAAACAGGATAACATTATAGTTGATATAAAGAAGCATAGTGAATTGCCAAATGATAATAAAGTAGATCATAGTATAAGTCACATACCCATGTTGAAGGAATTATGTGAAGCCGCAATGCCTAGTTTTAGTGAAACTGTTGATCAACAACTGAATGTTAGAGAAGACTGTCATACACCATGTGATAATAAGTTAACTGATGTTAAAATTGATTTGAATGATGTTGGAAGTAATACAGTAGATGATATAACAATACTTGTAGAATCTGAGGAGAAATCTAACACAGAATCTGCGACTCTGGCATTAATAACTGAAATGGAATCGACACAAAAAATTGATAGTGAGATACAAAATCAAAAGTCCAATGATCAAATCTTGCCCGAATCAGAAAAGAAAGTAGTAACAGTAACAAACAAAGAAGATGTTACTGCTCTAGTCATTAATGATATGTGTAACGAAAGTAAAAAAGAAGAAATAAGATTCGATCATTCAATTCACGAAAAATTTAATATTGATTTTGAAGTTGAAGAAAATAATGGAGAAAATGCTCTCATAAATATAGAAATTTCACCGAAGACTGCGATTCGTACTACAGAAGAATGTAGCACTGTCGGTTGTGAACCAATGTATGACAAATTACAACCAGCATTTAAATCTAAAGAGACACCTGAAATAGTACAAAATTTAGTTGATAGCACTAATTTTCAAATTGATAATGCTAATTCTGTAAGTAATGAAATAGAAAATATAGAACGAACACAAGCTGAACAGACTTTTTCACCTGAACTAGTACAAAATAATAGTAAGGAATTTGTGTTTAATGATGATGCACAACTAGAAGAGAACGTCAATGATGTAACTGTTAAAACTAATGATATTAAGCCGCTTAGATCTGATATTAATGTAAAAGTTATAGATAATGTAGTCAAAGACTCCCAGAGTGACAGCACTGTTTATATGGATCTCACTAATGATACAAATGAAGAGTTTTGTAAAGACAATGATATTTATAGCGCGAACGATGTTCCAACATATTTTGAATCTTCTAAAGATGAAAACGAGACGGATAATGGTAGTGATATATTCAAAAATGAATCAACGGCATACTTAGATCTGCCTAGTGTAATTAAAGAGACAGATAGTTTTCTTCATTCGGAAAGAGTTCTCTGTAGTCAGACTACACAATTTAAAGATCTAATATCTAGCACTCCCAAAGGTAGCGATAGTTCCGTTGATGAATTAGAAACTTCTACAATTGAGAATGAATACGATGTATTGTCAGAAACAAAGGTACCTGAATGCGATCCGGGTGTGACGTTAACTAAATTAGAGCAAATATGTGTTCCAGATAATTTAAGTCCATTAGAATCGCCCACCAAAAGCCACCACACCGATACTTACGATGAAAATAGTTCAGTAGTTTTAGGACCGTTTGAAAACTGCACTTTAGAGTTATTCAAAGCTGTGAAATCAGAAATTGTGGATTTTCCAAAAGAAGAGCTCTTAGCATTTTCTTCTAATTTCAGCGAAATAGATCTCGAAACTCCGTCACCCCTACGCGACGGTAACTTTCTGAACGAAGTGCCTGACATCGTCCATGATGATTTGCATTTTGACGATGTTGTAACTGTGAGTGAAGCTAAACCGGATATTTCAGAAGGTCAGAGTGATAATACCGAAAATACAGAAGAGAAATCAAATACTGAAAAACATATATCACCTTCAACTCCACCTAACTCACCTGGCGTTTTCCTTGCGTCAACATCACAGCAAAAGTACTTAGTCGATATCGATTTGAGCACGCCTAACGAAAGCGTTCCACACGCGTCAGCTTCCATAATTACGGATCCAGTAGCTCCTCAACCATCAGATTCAGGTCTGAGCTCTTTGCAGAAAGAGATTGATTTGAATCAAATAGAACTGCAAATCACAACAAAACTGGCAATGGCGGAGAACGAAAACAATTTGAACATAGAATATTCTGGACCATTGACAGTTGAAGGTTTCGTAACAGAGGACGAGATGCTGATGCGTGAGAGCGACGCCATACCGGAATCTTACCTTGCCGGTAATGGAAGGACGTTAGAAGATTTTAGAGATCTAACTCTGGATGAAGAGTGTGTGCAGGCTTTAAGAAATGAATTGGAATTGAAGCTGCCATTAGCTCAGGTAAGCTTAGCTTCATATGTTTTCAATGTTTTACGATTTAAGTGGCTTTTCATATTTTATAAAGGTACTTTACATGGGTGTAGTTTATTTAAAAAAGTACTGTTTAGCTTCGTTTTAATACAATTAAATGTCCAACACCGCATAACCATGATGTTACTTGTTCTTAACCGTCTTTTGATGCAGTTCTCCATCGCCAGTTTGAGTATTTTGACTGGCATAAATGGATAAGTTATACTGTTATGGAAAACATTAAAAAGCTCTAATGGGCTAGGGCTCCATAAGATTTTTTAATGTTTCCTATAGTCGCTTCTGACAGTTTCAATATAGATTACTGATATGATAAATGATGTTTCATGTTTTTTTTTTTTAATTTAAAAAACCCTTTATCGATCATTACTTAGTCTTAGTGATACGACGGTAGAAATGCGCTCCACCAGTTCTAAATTGTTCCTTAATATGACAAGTGACGCCTAAACGTAAACATGTGTCAGGTGGCGGGCATCGAGCCAGCGGGGGACACGAGTGGGGAGGAGGAGGTGGCGGTGGGCGAGGGGGGTGAGGCGGCGGTCGCGAGTGCGTGGGGCGGCGAGCTGCCCCCGCCGCCCGAGCTGCTGCTGTCGTACCCGCCCGCGCTCAGCCCCATCGCCGAGGAGACCGGCCAGCAGCTCTCCGCGTACGAGAACGACACCAACTGTACGTACGCCGTGTCTGTGTATGTGTGTGTGTGAGTGTGTGTGTGTGTGTATGTATGACTGTGTGTGTGTCTGCGCGCATTCGGGTGTCTTGTCTTGTATGAAAACTTACGTGTAATATTTATAGTATATATCTATAATATAAAAATGGATCGCTGAATGTGTTGCTAAGCGCAAATCTCGAGAGCAGCTGAACCGATTTCGCTAATTCTTTTTTATAATATTCCTTGAAGTACTAAGATGGTTCTTACGGAGAGAAAAGTTTAAAAAATTGCCTGAAAAAGTCTAAAAACAACACTTCTATATTCCCATACAAAAGATTCGTAATAATACTTAAAAGTCAATTTGAACTTTAATACCATGCCATAAAGTTTAAGTGTTAGGAGGGGTTCCGGGAAGGCAAAACAATTGAGTGACGTTAGTATCGTATAAATATTAATGTCAATATTTATACAGACTGGCAGATAGCTGATGTTATAAGGAGTAACTTGGGCTGCTTTTATTTTAGGGTTCCGCGAATAATTACTCCACGCGGGCGAAATCGTGGGAAACAGCTAGTAATATAATAGTAAAAGGGGTTCCTATTTATCTTGTTAGTAAATAAAGAAGAATCGTTTATGCTTAGTTCTAACTACTGAATTATAGTGACCAAATAAATTCATATTCCTTAAGTGTTAAGCATTACAATAATATAATTTTCGAATTAGAGTATGCTTTGTCTATTCAAATGAATTATCCTTGTTTCGCTTAGATGTAACCCATGTTGGTTTAGGACTAAAAGGTCTCATGTTGATGTGGAATATATAACAAAAACAATTAAAAATGTTGTACAGCTGACTTCAATATACGTTATTAAAAATAACTCAAAAACTATTGGTCTGACCTTGATCAAATTCATATGGGACCACACGAGAAGTACCAGCTTTCAAATAAAAAAAGAATCATCGAAATCGGTTCACCCAGTAAAAAGTTATGAGGTAACACACATAAAAATCACATATAGTCGAATTGAGTACCGTCTCCCTTTTGGAAGTCGACAGATAAGCAACTGTGCTGTTTTCGTAACAGGCGATTAATGGTATATTGGACTATTGAATTTTCTATGATAACAATTGCCCAATCTAAACCCATATTGTTTGACTAAACGTGGTCCGAGTAGTTCGCTGCTCTTGGTAATCTACCTAATCCTTGGGCGATTACAGGCGCGATGTCATGTGTGTGTCACTAAGATGTTTCATTGAACACAAGAAGAAACACGTTGCACATCAATGTTACTCTCTTAACCAAACACATTTTTCTAGTAATCATCTAGAACAAAATCTGGGAGGAAAAGCTTCACAGTATTTACGAATCGAAATTAATTTAATAGACATAGATATAGACATAGACATGCATTTATTCAGCAACATACACTCATACAGTTTTGATACAGAAAATAAAATAATACATAAAAACATCAAAGATAACAGTAAATAACAAAAACCAGTCATAAAATGATCCGATTGCATGAGTGATGTGATGCTGAAAAGGGCACTGACTCAACGTAATGCTATCGCAGGATTGCGGTAGCGTTGGTTTTCAGCAATGCACATTGAGGTTGGACTCGCCCGCGAGGATAGTATGTTCGCTTTATTTCTATTTTCGAGAAAGATGTTATCAAAATAATAAAATAAAATAATGGAAACAAAAAAGGATGGGAACTTTATTTAGGCAGTAGGTATATATAAAATGATAAGAATAAAGTAAGAACTGCCAGGGGAAATTCAAAACAGCCTAGAATAAATGCTATACGAGACGAGAATGGCTGCATGCTGAATGATGAAGTTTCGAACTTAAAGAGATGGAAGGAATACTTTGAAAGCGTGTTTAAGAGTGAAGAGTCGTCTGGAATAAGTGAAATAGAAATTCCGGAAGAAGTGGAGAGAGGTAGGGAGATAAGTGTAGATGAAATAATGAAAGCAATGAAAAGCATGAAAGCAGGTAAGGCAGTCGGATATGATAGAGTATCACTCGAAATGCTGAGGGCTGGTGAGGGTGTGGTTACAGGCCTGCTGCACACCTTGTTTAATTTATGTTGGGAACTGAAACGGGTACCGGAAGACTGGTGCAAAGCCGTTATAGTCCCAATATATAAGGGAAAGGGGTCGCAGCAGGACTGTAAAAACTACCGTGGTATCAGCTTGCTTAGCATTGTGGGTAAACTGTATGCTAAGGTGTTAATTGAAAGAGTTATGGAAGAAACTGATGGAAAAATTTGGGATGTGCAAGCTGGATTTAGAAAGGAGATGGGGTGTACGGATCAAGTCTTTTCCATGCGCATGATAGCGGAGAAGTTTTTGGCTAAAAACCAGAAAGTTTTTTGTGCGTTCATGGACTTGGAAAAGGCTTATGACAGAGTGGACAGGAATGTGTTATGGCAAACACTGAACTCATTTGGGTTGAGCGCTGGCCTGATACAGGCATTAAGATCTCTTTATAGGGACTCTAGTGCTTGTGTCAGGATCAACGGGGTCTACTCGGACTGGTTTGGCATTCATAAAGGTGTCAGACAGGGATGTGTGGCTTCCCCGTGGCTGTTTAACTTATTTATGGACAGTTGTTTGCAAACTTTGAAAATTGAAGAATGTGGGTTGAGAATGGGTGAGGCAACCGTCAAATGCCTTTTGTACGCCCATGATCAAGTCATATTTGCATCGTCGGCGGCCGAGTTGCAAATGATGGTTACTTTAATGAATTGGTCATTGAAAGAAAGGGGTATGAAAGTGAACGCAAGTAAGACGAAAGTGATGGTTATTGAAAGAGAAGAAAGTAAAACTTTATGTGAAATAAGAATAGAAGGGGAGTTGATTGAGCAAGTGGATGAGTTTGTATATTTGGGATGTTTATTTAGCAGGGATGGTAGATATGATAAGGATATAGAACGACGAGTGAACGCAGGAAATAGAGTGAATGGGGCTCTACACGCTATTATGAGGAGTCAGAATGTGTCAACTAAGGCACGTATGGCAATTCATAATGCTGTGTTAGTCCCTACTTTAATGTATGGTAGTGAAAGTTGGGTCTGGCAGAAGAAGCATGAGAGTAGAATAAATGCTGTAGAAATGCGTTCCTTAAGGAGTATGCTAGGGCTAAATCTGAATGACAGGGTGAGAAATAGTCTGATAAGAGAAAAGTGTGGTTTGCAAGATGACGTTGTGACAAGGATTAAGAAAGGAATGCTTCGGTGGTTTGGTCATGTAGAAAGAATGAACGAGGAAAGAGTGACAAAGCAAATTTATGTTGCGGAAGTGAACGGCAGGGTCGGGAAGGGACGCCCTAGACGAAGGTTTATCGACCAAATCGGCGATACATTAAAAAGGGGCCAGATTAGGAGTACCCTTAACCGACGAGCGTGTATGCGTAGATATATGGATGTAAAAGAGGCGAGAGAGGTGTGTCAGGATCGCGCCAAATGGAAGTCCGTAGTCTCTGCCTACCCCTCTGGGTGACAGGCGTGAGTGTTTATGTTATGTTATGTATGTATGATAAGAATAAAATAATAATGAAATCTATGTTTTAATATATATAATTAATTTTCGTAAAGGGAACCTATCGAACAGAACGGAGTCTTCGGAAAGTTATCCAGAGCCGTGCAACAACTCAACTGACGAGGTCACGGACCTGCCGACGGGTGTTCAGAGCGGACCTCATGAACACTCCACATATACTATTCAGTCCCGAGAGAACTCGCTCAATAACACTTACACCGTGCAAAGAGAAATCGGCAGCAGTAAAGAGTGAGTCTATAGTATATTTTTACACTTGTCTATTTTGAGATAACATAAATCATCACCTGTTTATAGATTCTGTCTCTTGAAAATGTCATAGAACTGAGTTAATTTTAATTATATTGCTGAAAAATTAAGTTTTTCATTGGAAAAATAGAACTCCTTAGTATCTGATTCCACAGTATCATAACATAACATAATTTGGTTATGTTATTGAATATGAATTCTTAATACATTTTTAGTATTTAAGCTTAGTTCAATCTCTAAAATATTCTTATAAATATATGATTGAATTAAATTTTCTTATTAATCATTTTAAATAATTTAAAAGTTAAAGTTAGCCTATATACGTCCCACTGCTGGACACAGGCTTCCTCTCATTTCTGAGAGGGTTTTAGGGCAAGGAAATATATAAAAAAATAAGGACTTATTATAATTATAAGTCTAATTGTATTTTTTTAATCTATTCTACAACATTTGTGTTCACAGAATAACAATGAGTGCCGACAGCTTAAACGCCAGCCCATTCAAAAAGCTTAAAGACGAACCCCTATCGCCAATTGATGACAAGACCTATAACAAGAACGACGATGAAAGACTTTCGAATTGTGAGAGACTATCACAGGTGTCTCCATTCCTACTGAGTCCAACGACCGATACATCAGCGCCCGAGAACTCCGACAATAACGCGGGTTGTTCGACGTTGTCTAAACCCACCGTACCGACGGATGCTAAATCATCGAAGCCATCCGAAACTCAATGCTTATCCAAAGCCACAAGTATAGATTCGTGGTGTTCAAACGATACTCTTTACAATGTTGAAGAGAATTTCGACGATCTTGCAATGGATCCCGACATGCCCTTGGACTTCGAACTAAACCACGAACCCCAGAAAGACGATAAGACGAGCGAAAGCACAGATACGCTAACTCACAACGAAGACGAAAAGGAATTGAGCCATTGCTCAACTTACATAATTCATGATAGTAAGTCCGACATGTGTGAAACGTTTTCACCCGATTCGATTACAGCCAACGACAATAATACGTACACGAAAGCGAAAACGGAAGCGGCGGGAACAACTCCCTCTGTCAACACGAAGTCAGAATTAAATGATTCGACTAAAAACACGCAAACTAAAGATTTAGCTTATGGCACACTTTTGTCCGGATTGCCTTCGAATTCCAATTGTACTACAGAAGTGCTTTCAATTGCTGACGAGGTTTGGAAGCTAACACAACCGGAGTTAGTGAGAAGATCGCCAATTAGAGATGACTTTGACTTCACACCACCAAACCCTGTTGCGGATAAAGAATGTTCAGAAGAAAGTAGCCCAAAAACAAAAGAACCGAAAGTCAATAGAATGGACAGTGTAGAAGTTACCTGTCTGAAAGATAATTCTGATAGTGAAATCAAATCTGAATCTGAAAGTCAAGGATTGTTAGTAGAAGTTAATGACAGCCAGGACTATCATTACAGAAATATGGCTCATTCTGTCACGAGCACGCCTTTAACAGATATTGAAGTAGGAAACGATAATATTGAATGTATACCTATTAAACTACCCGAAATTACAATTGAGAATTCGGAATATCTCATGAATAATTTGCCAAATTTACAATCATTCCTCCAATCAGCCGAGATTCGGCCTCAAGATATTTCCTCGAACATGAGTAATGAAGTAAGCTCTAATCAGGATACTGAAATATTATTGGAAGGCGAAAGCAAAAGTCTAAGCCGAAATAGCAACAAAGATAGTTTTGCAATTTGCGATCGAACACCGACTTATGCTGATTTTGAAAATTCCGCAACAACGAAACCCCAAGATCTACAGTCCAGAGAAAAATCTACAAGCTTTGAAAGTAGCACAAACTCAGATTTTCGTGGTTTTGAAAACTCTGTACTCAATCGCCCACAGGATTTATCATCTTTAATTGATGCCAGTTCTTTATTACTGAAAAGCGAAAGGCGTTCGAGTGAGCTTGCTATGGAATGCACGAACAATTTTGATCGAACAAATCAATCAGGAAATTTAGTTAACAATGTTGATACTCAATCTTTAGTTATAAGTCCGCCTAGTACTATTAATTTAAATGAATCTCATATTAAGGATATCAATAGATCTATTGATGTATTTATAACAGATTTAGATATAGAAGAAGAGACAGAACAACCTCATTCTATTATAATTACTGAAAGTCCCTTGTTAATAAGTAAAAGTCAGAGTCCAAATATTACTTATGACTCTCATACAGGGAATATGACGTATAATTCACACGAGGGATCACTTCAACCGCCTAATAAAGAAAATACACATAAAACAGTTACAGGTTCGCCTAAAGTTAATGGAGGAGAGACACATATAACACCAAATGAACACAAGCAATCCTCAGAGCCGGATATTAGTAATGATATTACTGGTGATATTGAACCGAAAACCGCTTTTTCCCTTATGGATCACCAAACAGTAAAATCTGATTCATCACAAGAAAGGGTTAAAAGGGACATTCAGGATATTAAATGTAATGGGGATAGTCAAAAGTATGCCACTGTTAGCTTCTTAAATGAATCGTTCGAAGAACTTTTAGAAAGTAATGTAGATGATAATGATGGTAGGGACTTTGAAGTTGATTTAGTTAAGAAGGAACAACAAGATCTTGACAGTAACACCGAAACAGCTGGTGCTTCTCTAAAAGATAAAGTTTCAGAGGCACAGCAAGAACATACATCTGAGCACATATATGAAACTATAAAGCAAGATGAACAAGTGATAAATGGTATTTCAGATGTAGAGGATGAAAAGATAACGTCAGTCACTGATAACTTTTTGCAAAATGAAAAGAAATTCTGTCAGCTAGATTCTTATTTGCCTCTGCTGAGTGATATAAGATTCACTGGTAAGTAGCATATTTTTTTTATTTAACTGTTCTAAATAAGTTTTTACTGTCACTGATAAAAGAAATAAATAAACATCTCGTATAATATGTTTCGCCATTGATAACACTGATCCGTCATAAACCTTTTCTAACATTTTCGAGTCAGTAAATTTTAGGTAAACTCTATTCAATCTAAATGAGGTGTCTTAATTCAAATAGTTGTGTAAATAAAATGGTATACAAGTCGGGCTCATTTTATATTATACTAATTAATTACAGCGCTCACACTACTAACGATTGATGATATCATGAGTCATCACATATGAACCACAATATGATGTCATCACATTGTGGTTCATAATCTAATATATAAAAAGTAATGTTTGTTTGTTCGTATTTTATGCGTTGTCATATCGTTCATCAGGTTTTAGGCATAGTACAACAATCAACTTACAGTAGATGGCGCGCGTATCGTACTGACAATTTTATTTAAAAGTTATATATCAATCAGCTTCAATTAATGTATTATCATTCCTAATCTATACAAATAAATAAAATTGAAGTGTCTGTTTGTAATGTCAAAATAACAGCTTTTTACTAAATGCATATTATGTATGCAGACTTGACGACTTCCAGCCTCCCGAACAAGCCGGTTTCCGAAAAGGCTTTAGCACCATAGACCACATACATACCCTTCGGCAAATTGTACAGAAGTCCGAGGAGTACAATTTGCCACTATGTCTGGCGTATGTGGACTATGAGAAAGCCTTTGATTCCGTCGAAATTTGGGCGGTGCTGCAGTCCGTTCAGCGATGCCAAGTTGACTGTCGGTATATCGAAGTGTTGAAGTGCTTGTACAGTAGGGCTACGATGGCTATCCGAGTACAGAACCAGAGTACGAAACCTATCCAATTGCAGAGAGGTGTAAGACAGGGTGACGTCATATCCCCGAAACTCTTTACCGCTGCATTGGAAGATGTTTTCAAGCTTCTGGACTGGAAAGGATACGGTATTAACATCAATGGCGAGTACATCACTCACCTTCGATTTGCCGACGATATAGTCCTTATGGCAGAATCGCTGGAGGACCTAAGCACAATGCTCAATGACCTTAATAGTGTTTCCCAACGGATAGATCTTAAGATGAACATGAACAAAACAAAGATCATGTTCAATGTCCATGTCACACCTATGCCGGTAGTTGTTGGGAACACTAAGCTCGAAGTTGTTGACGAGTATGTTTACCTGGGACAAATAGTCCGACTAGGTAAGTCCAACTTCGACCGAGAGGTCAATCGACGGATTCAACTCGGTTGGGCAGCGTTCGGGAAATTACGGCACATCTTATCGTCAGGTATACCTCAAAACTTGAAAACGAGACTGTACACCCAGTGCGTGTTGCCAGTGATGACATACGGAACTGAGACGTGGTCCTTCACTGCTGGCCGGATGAGGAAGCTCAAGGTAGCTCAGCGAGCTATGGAGAGGGCTATGCTCGGAGTTTCTCTGCGTGATAAACTCAGAAATGAGGATATCCGCAGTAGAACCACAGTGACCGATATAGCCCAACGAATTAGTAAGCTGAAGTGGCAATGGGCCGGCCATATAGCTCGAAGAACCGACAACCGATGGGGAAGAAAGGTTCTCGAGTGGCAGCCTCGTACCGGCAGGCGAAGTGTAGGGCGTTCCCCCACTAGATGGAGTGACGACCTGGTAAGATATGCAGGAAGTCGATGGATGCAGGTGGCTCAGGACCGTGCTTTGTGGCATTCTTTGGGGGAGGCCTATGTTCAGCAGTGGACTTGTGAAGGGCTGTAATGATGATGATGATATTATGTAAGTATATACGGTACTAATAACAAAAATACCATTTTTAAAGTTTTTGTATGTCTGTCTGTTTGTTCCGGCTAATCTCCGAAACGGCTGAACCGATTTTGATGGGATTTTCACTGGCAGATAGCTGATGTCACAGGGAGTAACTTCGGCTACTTTTATTTTAGAAAAATAATTAGGGTTCCGCGCAAAAAATAATAAAACTCCAAATAACACGCGGGCGAAGTCGCGGGGAACAACTAGTCACACAATATACCTATACCAAATTTTAAACGATATTTCCACAATTATTTCTTCTGCGGCAGCAACGCGCCGGGTACCAGCTAGTATAAAAACATAAATGTGCGCGAACATGACAAATGAGCATTCTCATTTTCTATAAATAATATATCCAATTCAAAAACAGGTCCAGGCACAGAAACAATGAGCACAGCATTTAACCAAGAGTCGCCTACGGAACCAACCTCGCCAGCGTGTGAGCAGGACAGCAAACCGGACACTGCAACAGAAATACTGAAAGAATGGGAGAGTGATAGTGACTCTCACTCCACTAATTCTTCCAGCGGAGAGTTTATTTGGAAGGTTAGTAAAATTTAAAGTGAAAATAAGAAAATGTATTTATGAAAGTAATTCTAATTTGGGATGAAAGTATACGTTAAATTTCCCTGCCACGTCAGAGGCGATGCTTGTAGTCTGTGAATGACTTTTGTAAATACCTAAATTTCTTTTCGCATTAAATTTGTCCTCAAAGCCTATTTTCAGCTTTACCCTATATATTTCTTTAATTTATTATGTTCAAGTTTCTCAATTCTTAAGCCAATTTCTAAATGCCTATTACATTTTTCCAGGTGTTTGTTGTTTAGGTTTAGCAGGTTTCACACGAGCATAAAATTGAAACTTCAACATAGTAAATGTTTTAAAATTGGTTTGTGTGGTGCCTGTATCCCAATAAAATATGTCTTGTGATTAATTTAATGGTGTGGCATTTGTCTATTGACCGATTTTTCTTGAAAAAAAAAAATTTAAAATAACAATAGAATTATTCCCATCTATCGTCATTGTAAATAATTAATATTTTTTATAAAAACCATACTTTATTGCATCTGTTTTCCAGTAGTGACCCCTGTATTGTTTAAGTGAAGTGATTAAAGCTTTATAAATTAATGTAGTTATTTAATACCTATAATAACCCCCTGTTGATAGTCTCTAAAGACTATTGAAGTAGATGGTCTCCAGTAAGTAAATGTATACATGTACAGTCCACGAAAAGTACTTCAAATTCATGGTGACAGTTATTTTTCGCTTTTTTTGTTTGGTATTATTGTAGATTGTAAAAACAATAACGAAGTACTGCATTAATTAAAATAATTTGCTTATATATATTGATATGAGAATCATAAACTACATTTTAGTACTTTTATTCTTTTAGTGGAATATATATTAGCCTACCGTTAACGTTATAGCCTAAGTCGCTGAATATCGACTGTCCCATATCGCCCCAACTAAAAATATTAAAAAACTGCGGTTGCCAACCCGCCTGTGTCAACTATGGCAAAATCCTCCCTATCAGGCAATCTATGGGACTGGCCTATGTTCAGCAGTGGACTTTAATATTAATAGACTTTTATGGATGCTGCCCATCTCGTGATTTGTTTCCCTCTGTCGCCTCTTACGACACCATCGGGATGATATGAGGTAGTTGATATACTTACACCGCAACTACACGCCAATAGACTATACGGTATTAACCTATATCTTTACAAATATATACCTAGCATGGCCATATTTTCTTTTAAAAACAGTGTAATCATAACAAAACTTAAGTGTACATTACAGTTGTTAAAGTCTAAACGATAAATTAAAAACAATTTTTGGTTTGATACTGGCCTTTAATGCACGTATCGTGGGATTTACATACGCCTCCATGGAGAATTGAGCCACTGCTAGCTCTAAAGATTTGAAAGGCACAATATCGTTTAGAGTATGCTGTATCCTCTAGTACTGGCCTCAATTTTTAGTCCAACGTGTTCAGATCTCGACTGAAATAAGGCCAGTCTTAAGCTCAACAAATCGATCGAAGTTTCTTACATAATAAACACGTTCAAAATTTTTATTCATAAAATTAAAAATAAAATTTAATAGTAACATGAGTAATGGCCAAATTACTTCGAATAGTCTAATCTGATATAGTTAAAATTTGTATCAGACCATTGTGAAAAAAAAAACTTTCAATTAAAACATGATTTTGTGTGCAATGGAAATAGAATTTTCTATTTAGACTTTTAGTAAGAAATTTTTTCTTTAAAAGATTAAAAATCATGAAGATTCTTAAGCTCGAAAAATATTTAAATGCATTTTTATGTAATTCTTAGTAAAAGAATTAAAATACTAAATACAACACAATACAAAAACATATACTAAAATATATACAAATAATTTTCATTTTCCCCTTATTTTACTACCCAAATTACTAAACTCTAAATAAACTTAAATATTTGCATACAATTGGAGCATTATTTTTAACGCTACAGTTTTATCTTGCTAATATAAATTACATAACTTATGCTTTGCCATTTATGTATTCTCCAAAAATATTTAAAAAAAAAAGCGAAAGATACATATATAATACTGTAAAAAGACAGGGTGCTGTATATAATATATAGTATCAAATGCTCTGTACATGTGTATAACAAATATATCGGTGTCGGTGTGCTTGCATGTATAATGTATATGTAAACACGTGTGTGTGTGTGGTGCATAGGACGGCGACGGCCACGAGACCTCCGTCGTGCCTTCCTCGCATTTCGACCACGTAAGTACTTCTATTATTGTTGTGCATTTACATCTCGAAACTGCTGAGGGGATGATTGATGATGATATTTAAAGATTTTAAAGTCATTTTTAAAATATATCAGATGTCCTATATATTATATATTGAAAATGAAATAACAGTTTCTTTTTTGTTTTCCAAATGAGGTTCTTGGTTTGAGAAGAACCGGCGAAAGAAACCATTGGGTTATTCTTCTTGCCATCCAATAATTTTTGATAATATTTATCTTGTCATCAAACATCGTTGAAAGCAGATCGTTCCTTATTTTGGATTTGCATTAACCCTGCCTTTGTTTTTATATTACTCATGTATCATGATAAAAATTACTACAGCATTGCGGAAGTACCCAACATACAACAAAAAAGGCCGGCAACGCATCTGCAATTCCCCTGGTGTTGCAGTCGTTCATGGGCGGCGGTAATCACTTACCATCAGTGTGCCTAGTGCGAGATTTAGTTTTTACGCATTCGATATCGAGAAAGTTAACTACGATTTGTATAGAATAAAATCAGCGCCAACTAGTGGCAATAATCGGAATCACAGTTCATTATTAGCTATTTGTTTATGTTTCGTAATTTGATCAAGGTTTCGACAGTTTGTGTTAGTATTATAAGATTGATAATTAGCCATTTTATTTTAATGTTAATTATTGAAAGTATTAAATTGAAAGCAAAAAACATGAAGATGTTTTCGTTCTAATATGATTTTCTGGTGACATTTATGGAGCAGTAAATGGAATTTAGTTACTTAGTGTTAAGTGAACTTATGATACTTACTTACTACTGACTTAATTATTAAATAGTGATGGTAGGTAGGAACTTGGATTTATCAAACGCTATTTACACAAAAACTTGAACACTTTCTTGGAAAAGGCGATATCTATCCTTAAATTACCTGTCATTGGGGTGTAACAACGGACTAAAATATGCACAAGCTCATGCTTCAACACTGGCTTCATAATAGCAGTCATCTATTATTATTAGTTATTAATGCCTTTGTGGCTGCAAACATCCTCCTAACGAAAAAAACGTCCTGCCTAAATTATATATCGTTCTCACAAAACGTAATAAAATTAACTCTTCAACAATTATTCTCACTCTTCTATCTCGCTGTAAAAATTTAGGTGAATACTTTTTCGATATCGCCCTTGTAAAGTTTTACGTCTCGAATGATCGAAATTGCCGCTCCAATCAAACACGTGCGTTAACGTTCTCACTGTCGAGTGTCGAATGTTCCCTATATAACATCGTAGTCTTTGGTCGAATGAGAGTCAATGCTCGATGGTGATTCCGATTATTGCCACTAGTCGGCGCTGATTTTATTCCATACAAATTGTAGTTATTTTTTTTTATAGGATCGGGTGACAAACGAGCACACAGTCCACCTGATGGTAAGTGGTTACTGTGACCCATAGACATCTACATCTATCCTCAATAAAGACTCAAGATGCAGATGCGTTGTCACACCCATGAGTACTAAGATGGAATGCCTCACATTTATGTGAGATATCAATCAATTCTCTACACTCACCAAGCGAAACAGCAGCATTAAAATGCTATTTTACGCTGGTATTCTGTGAGAGCCCCGGGCTAATCCATTCCACTCGTGCTACAACTACAAATAATAATTAATATAGCTATATCTTATTTATACCACAGACATTTTACAACATAAAACTATAAGGCCACAGCAACCACTTATCATCAGGTGGACTGTGTGCTCGCTTGTCACCCTCATTCCATAAAAAAATATCCTTATTGGCATTAAAAAGAACGGTTAATGGTGCTTGACAGCATAATATATGCGACCAATTTTGAAATATAGTATGAAGTATTTTTTCGTCTAGCGAAATACAATTAATTTGAACACAAATTAATATTGCAGCAAAATACGCGTTGAATATAGAACCTCCTCCTTTTTGAACTCGGCTAAGAAAAACACACTATGATCAAAGTTCTAAATATAAATAAAATAACAATACAGTTATTATTTTATTGAACATTCAGAAAAATTAAAAACAAATATTAACCAAATGTTTCACAGAATCAGATTTTATCCTTTTTTATAAATAAACATTTTAATTGATTTCTATTAAATTGATTTTAATTTATTTAGCAGTGATCGTCAATCGTCATTTTCGGACTTCGTATGAGGAATAGACTAATCATATTTTCATATTCATTCATTCATTACAGCCTATCAAAAGTCCACTGTTGAACATAGGCCTTTTCCGTAGATTGCCTCAAAAGGGGATATTTGCTGTATTTGGCAAGCTTGGAACTGCATTTTTTATTATTTTTGAGTTATTATCAAAAAGATGCTGCTGCCCATTTCATGTTTTATTTTTTTGCCTCTTACGATACCCACGGGATGATATGATGTTGTGGAATATCCTTCACCGCCCTAAAACACGGCCAATATATCGGTATCGGTATTCTTTCAAATACGAAAATACATATATTACTAGATTATGTCAAATTTATTCTCTTATTTTGCAAACATTTTGAAAATGTATCATGTAACGAAACAATTCGGTATATTTTTTCCGTGGTAGAGCCATGTTGCAGCTATATTAGTGGTATAGTTGTAGCACGAATGGGTCGGCTCAACTGGGGGCGGACCACACTCACAGAATACCAGCGTAAAATGGCAGCTTGATACTGCTATGTTTTCTATGGTGAGTGTAGAGAACCGGAGACCCATTTTACTGTAAAAGAGGCATTCCATCTTAGTCCTCAAGGGTGACAACGCATCTGCATTTTGATTCGCAAACGAGGATAGATGTAGATGTCTATGGCCCACAGCAACTACTTACCATCAGGTAGACTGTGTGCTCGTTTGCCACCGTATCCTATAAAAAAAATATTTGGAATTTATTTTCATACATGTTTTTATAATCGAGCCCGCACATTCTTCATCGGCCCAAACCTGACATCTCAGACTTTTGACTGTGCTTAACGTCGCCGTTCTGTTTTTAATATCTGGCAAATGATCATACATGATCGTTATTGCCAATCCTCGACGAACACAATTTTCTTGTAAGTGTATGATGTCTTCTTAATACAATCGGAAATATGAATTGCGCACCCCATTCACAAAATGGTCGCAATTGATGTTGTAATGCTTGTACGACATGATATAAAAATAGGCAAGGGCGCAAGATCTGGGACACTAGCACAATCATTAATTTAACCCGCTCTGTTGTTTGGAATAAATACACTGGAATTCGAAGCGTAGTTTTAACACTAACTAGCCACTAGGTCGCGCTGCTGTTACGGCATTCACCAAGGATTATTCATTACGCAGCAACGCGAAGGCGGGTCGCAAGCGAACGAGCGTCCCGAGTTGTCCGGCTCGGCGGGGAACGCTTCGTCGGGGTCGGAGGGCTCCGAGGGCTCCGAGGGGGACGAGGTGGAGTTCGTGCCCTCCTCCTGGGACTGTCGCGCGGCCCCCGCCAAGTCTTCACTACGCAGCCTCGAACAAGCTGCGCCGGTGTGTATTTCATTTACATTTCCTAATTTACCATTATTTGAACAAAGTAATCTCTGGTCTGAGTATCCTGCAAGCTGTGCGCTACAACTTTTATCAACTTACAGGACAACAAGAAACGCGTCGTTTTCAAACGTCAGAAGTACCACTGCGTGTACGAATATCCACGCGAGGTAGCCGACGTGGACGCGGAGTCGCCATCCTTCTTGCCTGATTTCTCAACTTATTCCGGTAAGTCAAACGATTGAGCTTGTGGACGCTTGGTTGTATCAAGGAAAGACATTGTTTTTCATTAGCTAAAATTTGACAAGAAGTTCTTAAAATGTATCAAAATTTTATTCAATTCTTGTGAATTCTTTATCCTGGAAACAACCAATTTTAAGAAGAGAAAAATCTATTATAAGTAAGACTACTGTGGTAAGTGGTAAGACGTGCAGAGTTTTTTTAATGGGGAAATGTTTACACGACGACGGGTTATGTCGGACTCGCGCCGACTAAAATAAGATTGTTATTATTAGTTTTGAATTTTTATACCTCGCTTTTACGACTTTTCGGTTTCTTTACAGAGTGGGATCCAACAAGTGCGGCGGATGCAGAAATTGGCTACGGTCAGCTTTTCGGAGCGCCAAATCCGCTGAATTTGTTCCCACGATGGCACGGCCCCGGGGCAGGTTAGTGTCATATCACATTTTATGTTTATGTAAATATTCTCAATGTAAGTTTCTCTAAAGTATAATGGAACTTCATTTTTACAATAACAAGGGATATTCTTTTGAAATGTTTTCGATTTTTTGTTACATTTCTTGTTATGTAAACAGCTGATACAGACAGACTGAACTTCAACGACGACATGGATAACTGCAACCGTCAACTAATAGTGACGCCTACAGTTTGTCATCATACTACATTCTTACACAGGAGTGCACTTGTACAAACGAACACCAGTAGCAATATTGACATTACGTATTTAAATTAGTCAGAGTCAAGTGTCAGTTAAGTCTCGTGGTGTCACAGTCACTTTGACCTAAAGCGTCTCCCACACGGAAGTGGCTTGCGGTGGCGGCCGCGGTGGCGGCCAGTTGTATTCGCTTGCAATATAAGTGAGTCTGCAAACCCACGCGGCCATGTCGCGATCTGCGAGCGGCTGGCCGCGGCCGCATGCCCCCCCCCCCCCCCCCCCTTTTGCCAACACGTGTGTACGCGAGTACACGGTCAGTCGGTGGCCGCAGCGCGGTCAGTTGCAAATTTTTACAACAGGCCGCGTGTACCGCGTGAAAAACGATGTTAAATTCAGAGATTTTAATAGAAACAGCGCAAAATTATCCAGTACTTTATGATAATTCGCTACGTGATTACAAAAGCATTAGAATTAGAAACGAAATATATGATAATATTGCTGAATATAAAAAGACTTCGCCACGGTTAGTCATGTTACTGACGTCCAATCGTAGTACAGACAACTCAGCGAATGGCGCTTCAGACCACCGCTGCGACCGCGGTGGTATGTTGTTGCAGCGGCTGGAGTCGCGGCTCGCGGTTAGCCGCCACCGCAAGCCGCTTCTGTGTGGGAGACGCTTAAAGCAATAGAGACAGCACGATACTTAACGGCATTCTAAAATTGAGCAGCGTTTGAGTATTTCATCATTAGACAATTTGTTTATTAAAAGAAGGTAGGAAATTATCTATCTTCCTTTAAATTAAAATATCAATCAACCCATAATAAACAACGATTTTAATCTAATAATATCACATGAATATCAGAATATAAAGAATAATCCAGAAGTTTTGAATTTTTAAAATCCATATATAAATCCATTTTGAAAAGTTAAAGAGTCAGTAAGTCAGACGCTCAGCTTTGTCGCTGGTATCGAAAGCAGTCGACATATCGACGGTAGTGATCCGAAGATCGAAGTAGCAACAGAAAAAAAAGCAGTTATCTCTGTCGCTGGCAAAGTGCGACTTGTCTGTTAGAGCGCTAAATGACAATTGTCATCTTAAATAATTTGCCACCGAGTTAATCATTTCTTTTATCGTCGTAGATTACGATGAGGACTTCTTCATATCATCATCGGCGCGTCCATTCGAGAGTCTCGGCGTGATGTCGACCACGAGCCAATTCTTTCCCGGAATGCACGTCAAACCTTCGCTACTAGAACGAGACATAGACGACCTGGACGATTTTCCCCCACCACCCTCCCCACTCCCACCAACAACACTCGTGCAGACGAGAACACCATCTTTAGACTTCACCACGCCCGACTCTGGTGTCGAAGACATCACACCCGGATCCACTAGCACAGAAGACGATTTCAAGACGAAAAAGGTGACTGATAATGAAACCTGTTGGAGACCAGTCGATAGCGCCAGTTCTAGTGAGTCCGTTAGCCCCAGTTCTCCTGGAGTTGAAGCCCTAGGTGGTCTTAGACACACGCGGGACAAATTGAAACTGGATCTACCTCCGAGTCCACATATACCATCTCCTCGACACAACAGGGTGTTTAACTTCGTACTAGATAAACCGAAGAGGCGGAGTCAAGAGGAACGAACTGAAATCGGAACGACGCCTTTGGTGATGACGGACGAAACGCCAATAATCACCACGTCACTGCCTCTCCAAAAGGAATCTGATGATGTCATACCGGAACCAACTTTTTCAACATTTGGAAAATGTGCATCGAAGAATACTGAACCGGAACAGAAGGCCATGATATTAACAGATGATGTTGAAGACTCTGAGATAAAAGAAGAGGGTTCAAATCAAAAGGTAGAGCCTGTTAAAGGAGAAGGTACTGTCCTGGACAGTGGAGACGAGGACTCTGGCATTGAAAGCAGTTCAAAGGCAACGCTTGAAAGAAATAAAAGTACTCCAAACATCTCACAAGTAGAACAAAATGACAATTTTTAGTGTAATATAAATCTATCCTTGTTAGAAGACGCTTGATATATAACGCGTATATAAGTGCAAGGAATGATATAGCATGGATCATTAGTACGCTTCGGAATGGCTGCAATTATCATTGTAAAAGAAACAATATGAAAAAAAGATTGTTGAAATAGCTTGACAAGTGAAAGTGTTAAGATGTCTAAATAATCGAATATTTATTTGTTCCTTGCAATAACAAAGGGTTTTTTTTACACTTTACAAAAGGTCGGTGCATAATGCTATCTCACCTTAGGTAAGCAAACAGTGGATGTTCACTTTAGAAACAATTTTGCATGAAACTAATACCTATACATATCGATTTTTCGAACATTGTCGGTAGCCCGTAGCCAACATGTGATTATATTTAGTTTTAATAACTATAACATATAGTCTCTACATTGCCAGTGATTAACTTGGTGTTACTACAGAACTAAGGTACAAATAGCCGTGAATTAATATACGTGTAACTAACTGTTAGCGCTTTATATACTGGAAATATATGTAATAAGTGCTTAGATATGGAGGCCCAAGTGTGCCTAATTAATCTTCTAATTAAATCATAATGGCCTATCCTTTTTAAATTAGGTTTATAGTTGGTCGAAGCAACGTGACAGACCTGAACAAAGTGTAGAATTGTATGTAACCGATAACCGATAGGAAAGAATTCAAAGAATTGAGTAGTGCTATGTGGTGTTAATCAAACCTTACAATTGCTAGATTTTTCATACGTAATATTTTTAAATGTTTATTTCGTAAAAAAGTAGTGCATTAGAGATTGTATTGTATACTACATATTCGTACGGATATATGTACAGTCATTTTATATGAAATATAACTAATTTGTCTGCTTAAACTTTGCAGAACTTTGAGGGCAAAGACGGCTGTCTGAATATTTGTCACTACGTCCTTTTTCTCAGTCTCAATATTCAAATACAAATGTATTTGAATACAGGTAATGAAACAGAATAGATCTTAGAAAAAATTACGTTCGCAAGAATAAATAGAATCTTAATTTATAATGTAAGGACTGCTTAAATACTTTTTCATAAACATATTATTTAACCATATTCATTAAATTCATTATTTGATCCAATAGGCACAGGCCAAGTAATAGTTGTAAAAAACTGACTGACGGCTCCGTCTACTCAGACGAAGTCGTTAGTCAAATCTAGGATTTAACTATCATAACATACATGACAGCAAAAAAAAGGATCTAAAGAATAGCAAAAGTTACACAACTTCCAATAAACACTGTTGGATATATCAAATTTACATGAAATATAGAGACATTCATTTCTAGAGTTGTCGCACTTGAAGCACTGCAAAGATTCTGCGATCAAACTATAATCACAGATTCATTTTTAAATAATAATTTTTACAATAATAATAAGAAATATGTTAACGAAATTAATAAAGCATACATTTGAAACAGTTTCATTCAGTATTGTATTCATATCCGATACGTTGTATATTATTGTCTAAATTCTTGTGAACACTACATCTACGCACAATGAAAAAAACATCTTCCATCTTTAAAATTTGCTGAACATAAATAAATTATGATCTACCATTGAGGTTGCAGAAGGAATTACGACCACTATTTTATGTCAAATTAATAAAAAAAATTATTCAATTTAGAGACCTTCATGTCAGCCACTGATCACTGTTTTACCGAACATTTAAAAATTTTATAAGTTTGTTTATTGCAATAAATACAATTTATAAACACGAATTAAGCGGTGTGATTTTTATTGCAACTTCAGTGGATTATTTGAACTAAAGCCAATTCTTAGTTAAGTAAAAAATTATATTAGATAAGTGTAGAGTAGTCGTAATGCTACGGTGACAGGTCGACGTAGCGTATAATTATTGGGCACTTGGCAACAATTATTTATAAAAATTTGTATTTTAAAATTGCATACAGAAATTAAATATCCGTAAAGTTTTTTCCGTATGTGAAATTAAAAAAAATATCTCATTGTTTTGGTAAAAATAATTAATATTTAGCTTAGTTGCAGCGCAATGTATGATTTATTTGTAGACTGTTGTGTGGCAAGTGTTGCCGAGTGTACCCCAGAGCGAGTGCCACTAAGATGCGTCATCAGTATAATGTGCGATACGTCCAAGTGTAAACCTCATGTGCAATTCTTCTCATTTCCATATATTGAGTTTTAGTTTTTTAGTTACTGCTGTAAATATAATTTAATGTTATCGAAAGAGTAAAAATTTTTTGAATATGAAATTTATTGATTGTACTACATGTTTATTGTTCTTAACATTATTTTTTACAGTTTTAGAATGTTTCGTTGATGTACAGATGTAAATAGGCAGTAGGTGTTCATTTTGTTACGATAACAATAGGTTAATCATAATATGGTTCGATTAGATATTTCAAAGTCGTATTTCACCATTTAGAATGTGACCAACAATCGGTAGTCTATGGAAATACCTAGATTTTAAATTAATTAACGTAATACATCTATTCCCAACTTTATTGATTAATTTCCGTCGCAATCACATAAGAAAACGAGGAATTATTTGAATGAATTGTCCAATTATTATGGTATTTATTGTTTGTAAGTTGTTGATTTGTATGAGCTGTCGATTTAGTATTTAGTGAATGTGAAACGAATCGGAAGTCTTTTCATATTGTGACTTTGTCGAGTCTTTTAAAAGTATTTATATGAAGAAATAAATAATTAATAAAATTTGTGACTCAATAAGCCTTTTATTGTACTTCTTCAGAAAAAGTTTTAAATAAATCCTTATCTTTAATGTGTAAAAATTTAAATGCCGATATAATCTTTATATATAAAAATTACGTGTCACGTTTGTCCGCGATGGACTCCTAAACCAAAATGCACATAGTGTGCAAAATTTCATTGAAATCAGTTCAGTAAAACTGATTTCAATGAAATTTTGCACACTATGTGCATTTTGATCCAACTTGAGGATAGTTTTTATCCCGTTAAGTGACCATCAATATTTTTATTACGAATTTAAGTTTTTTTTTTATTAGAGAAGGAAAGAGCAGAACAACGCCTGCCTGGCCAGCTAGGATGTACATAAATTAAACTGCCAAAAGAAATCATACGTATATCATATTTAAGAAAATGTTACATAATAATACACGGGCACATAATGATAAAATAATTTAAGGCACCATTTAAAAAAAATTAAAGGTGTCTTAACCTATTCGATCATTAACAATAAATAGAACTTTTTACTATTGAAATACTGGAAAATTAATATCATAGAATGATCACAGGATTTATTTTTAATAAAACACCGTTCAGAAAGTGCCTTGTAGAAATAAAAGAGAGACAGATCAAAATTCCACAATTAATTATTTATACAATCATTGCACAATTCCTAAATTTTGCACGTGCCTTCTTTACAAATAAATTGATTACTCTTCTCAACAATTTATTTAGCTTAAAACTATCATCAACTATACATGTAAGTAAAATAAACATTACGGTTTTTTTTTCAATCTTGTAAAATCGGTCGAAGCACTTGTAACACTTATTCTGTCTGCATCGACAATTAATTTTTTCATTCACACACACATCGAATGAGATCATACTGACAATAAATGACTACAGGTTACCATACTGGAAACATTTAAATTTTTTTTCTTTAAAGCTGTAGAAATTGAATGAACTAGTCATGTCATTTTGACAGGGGATGGGCCACATTCGCACACCCAAGTGCTGCTGTGTTTTGTAAGTGAGGAGGGTTTCTTTAAACTGCTAACTACCAGGCATTCCAGCTTTGTGCCTGAGATGTAACAAAGAATTTAGTCATTCCATTTATTCAGGTAGACTATATCCGCTTGGCACCTAACTTTTATAAAAAAAATAGAAAGTGATTTTAATCGGCGACATTTGCCTCTTACTTTTTCGCGCTTTTTATTAATTCATTCACGGATCCAATATACAGGTATTATCTATGGACCCAATGAACAAGTTGACGTTGGCGGCGTAGTAGCTTTGTCCTTTTTGTAATGCTGGCTGTCGGTCCGTTTGACCAATTGTGTTAGTGCATGTGTTGATCGGGTGCGAGGTCTATCGGTGGTCAGCTGCGGCGCCAGATGATGACGAGTCCTGACACGTCGCTGCTGGCCAGCAGGCTCTCGTCGTAGCTGAAGCTCACGCCCAGCACGGCAGACGCATGACCTGGTCAGGCAAACCCAAAATTTAAATATATAGGATCCTTCATATCAGTCACTTGTGTGGTTAATCTAGTTAAAATCTTTTCGTTTACAATTGGCATTTACAAACTTTTCGTATGTCAAGCAACCTTCGCTCTCTCTTCGGCAAATCCCTATTTAGAAAGTGTTATGTGATAGAATTTTTATAGGTGGTAAAGCCATGCTGCAGCTATATTAGTAGTATAGTTGTAGCATGAATGGGTCGGCTCGACCGGGGAAGAACCACGCTCTCGCAGAATACCAGCGTAAAATAGCAGCTTAACACTGCTGTGTTTCGTATGGTGAGTGTAGAGAACCGGAGATCCCTTTTACTGGAAAAGAGGCATTCTATCTTTAGTCCTTACGGGTGACAATGCATCTGCATTTTGATTCGCAAACGAGGATAGATGTAGATGTCTTTGGGCCACAGCAACCACTTACCATCAGGTGGACTGTGTGCTCGTTTGTCACCCGCCCCTATAAAAAAATATAAAATCATAAAATAAATGTAATAATCTACTTTCCAACGTAAGAAATTTTTACTTTGTTAATCCGTTAATCTATATAAATAAAAAATCAATTGGAGCATGTATGTATAAAAGGCTATCACTTGAGAACGGATGAACCAATTTTGATGAGATTTTTTGTGTATGTTTGAGTATGTTTGGGCCCGGGATGGTTTAGATTCACAATTGGACCCGGTAGATGGCGCTGTTGTCGAGATCCAGAAATCACCCGTGCGAAGCCGGGGCGGATCGCTAGTAAAATATATGTCACGATGTCTTTTATTGCTTGCTCTAGCTTGAGTGATAGGATAATTTTTTATCCCGGTGAGTGACCCTCAATATTTTTATTGCAAATTTAAGGATTTTATATAGGACTAAGGGTCGTCGGAAAAGCCAGAACAGCGTGTGGCTGGCCACATAGTAATTTAATAAATAAATAAAATATCAAAATCATTTAAATATGTTACCATATTAAAATGTGTTTATATGTCTTCGCAATTCAAACATAAATATAACCATTCCATACATGCATGATTTCCTCATCCAATACATGGATTTAGCTTTATTTAGTCGTAAGAGGCAATCAGGAGATGGACAGCAGCATATTCCTAATAACAGCTGTATAAAAAGTCTGCGGTTGCCACCCCGATAGCTAAACGTTTCAACTATGGCATAATATAGCGTCTATTTAGTGGAATATAAATAACATGTTTGAACATGATAAAAAATTCTCGCGTTATGTGAAGTTATATAATTATTCACAAAAATATTTAGAGCGCCTTTATATATAAATAAAGAAAAAAAAAGTAAAAATAAGAGAAAGATAAAAAATATATAGAAAAAAGATAAGAACTTACCCTGTAGTTTGTTGACAACGGGCTGGTCGGCATGACCTTCTATGTCTAGAAAGTATACACAAGCGTCTTCTCCCCCACTGACGACACAAACGCCGCGTCGGAACGACATAATGGGACAGAATGTCGATTTCACGCTATACCGACTGTGGGCAGTTTCAAAACGCTTCTTTAGCGACAAACTGCCTTCGCGGTCAGTGATCCTGGAAACAAAAACATAAACTTTTTATTCAATATAGATTATAAATAATACTTATTGAAAGTCACTCTTTTGTATAATTACCACTGGTTCGAAAGAAAAACCTCTGTCCTGGGAAGAACCAGCTAGAAACCCAGCGGGATTTTTTTTAAATAACAGCTTCCAATCATGTATGTTACACAAATTAACAACACAACAAATCGATGGCAGCAAAGTAAAAACGGACATCTACAAAATCGCAATTTTACAGGAGAGCAGATTTAGTAAAAAATTGTGGTCATTTTGAGAGTTATGGACTGATTAACATGAAATTTTCTATAAAGCATTAAAATAACATTCTTTATGAATTATGTAATAGTTTTTCTATGCTATGTCGTTGTTTTACTAAAATAATTTAGATGTCTTTTTTTACTCTAAAAACTTTGGCGTAGAAGAAGACATCTGCCTGATATCCGTTTATACGTTGTGATAAAAAAGCGTTCATTCCATTTAAAATATGTAATAAACTAAGATAATAATCTCCATTAATACTTTTAAGGATATTTAAAGAAAGTCTAAGCAACATGGAAACAGTATTCCCATTTTTTTTGACGAAATTTTGCAGATGTCTTTTTTTTGCATTTAAAATTTTATACATTATCAATTAATGAGCCTACCAGGCAGACAAATTCAAATGTCCGTTTCTACTGCGATGTTTTTTTTTTTTAAATTGAAGGTAGTCTTCATTTACGTGCCAGATTTTCTTCATTATTTTGAAATTCGACATAATTTTAATACATACTTGTAGATAGGGTTGATTTAAGCTCATTTTTGTAAAAAAGGCATTTTCATAAAAATGTAGATATCCGTTTCTACTTTGCTGCCATCGAAATTAGAAACAGCATGGTAGCGATCACCTCATTTCCAGGAGTTATTATCATCCATAAATTCTTTAATATTATAATAACCCTTTTTATACAAACTTAGTTTAATAAATTTTTTGAATTTTGAGCAGGTCAAATTTTGTATATTTTCTGGAATTTTGTTGTAAAAGCGTATACATCGCCCCAAGAATTACTGACTCGATAAAGTCGAGTAACTGGTACTACTAGCTTGTGTCTGTGTCTGTGTGTCTGGAATTCCGAAATTGATAATTCACATTAATTACTTCTAAATATTTGTTTCATCTTAGTCTTAAGAATAAAGAAGGGAGTTTTTTGGGATAGAAACAAATGTTTATTCTTTAATTTTTGATTGGATTAAAAAATACATCTTCTATTATCCCTGTATATTCGTTTATCATTTACGCCACTGTATAAGTTAAGTGTATGGTACGTGCACAGATATAAGTGAGTTATCTGCGGCTCACTGTATAGAGTACCAAGTGTATGAAACGATTGAAATATTTATTCGTCACTATAACACCGTTTAACGTTTAAAACCGTCACATTTCGTACACCAGACATAGACATTTGCTGTCGTAGGTTATAATGCTGTATGGTCTAAGAACTTTGTTCGGCAAACAATAAAATATCAAAAAAATAATATATCAAGGAACTTTTACTCTGGTTTGATTATAACGTTGAATCATCACGGTGAAACGTTATCAATCGTATTCCCGAACGACAGGAACGACACGTGCCGACTTAACCATTTAAATTAAGTTTATCACATTTTGCATTTAGTAGATACCTACAATTTGTAACAACATTTGTGAAAATAATACCTAAACAGATACAGCGAGTTGTCCGTTGCGCTGACGAGTAACGCGGGATGTCGAGCAAGCCAAGGTGACCAACTAAGACTGGTGACTGCACCTCCGACGCAACAGCGTCGCAGCTTGCTTAAAGCACCCGCCCCAGACATGCGGTAGCTCACGATCACGCCCTTAACAAAATTATTCATTGAAATGTGGAGCAGTGGTGTCTGCAAAGGTATTGTTTCGAAATTACATTATGGAACAACTTCCTAATACTCTCCTAAATTATCAATAGCCCAAGAACTAAATAGAACCACAGTAAAACAGAGGAGGTCAATCACTCTAAGCTATTCGTGCTCGAAGTAATGCTTATGGGCGTTGTTTGAAACACGGAGGTAAAAGGACGCAACTATATCTGAAACCCCACCTCTGTAAGACAGAGAAAGTCAATCATTCTAAGCTATTCGTGCTCGAAGTAATCAACCATTCGTTTTTGCCCGAATGTTGCAACTGATAAAACGTACGCTACGCTACTTTCAACAATGCTCACGTCCCAAGAACATGAATCACAAACCTTGTCATTAGCTGCCCAAAACATTCGGCCGCTGGACTCGCACGCTATCGAGAGCACCTTTCCGCCCAGTATACTGCTACCGCCTGTAAGCAGATTAGTAACATTAGATCATTCATCGTACATTTCTTTCATACATCTTTCACACTTATTAGATGACATCATTGACCAACTACTAAATGGACCTCGGGCCCGCGCTCAAGTGTTGTCCGAACCAAAAGAGTTCCAAAATGCTAAAAGAGTTCCAATCGCACGCCAGTCTTCGTTTTTTCGACCGACTTAATGCATGTCTTAACGTAATTTTCGCTAGAAGGTCCATAACGTGAAAATAGTGCGGCCTCATGCCTGTGCAGGCCTATGCTGACAAATTGTCTCAAGTTAAATTGAGCAGTTTTCTAATGACAATATGGTTTGAATTAGGGTATTACAGTTTTTTTTTTATATTTCTATACATGTACTTACGCGGTTGACTTCTACTTACGTTGACTCGGGACAGATTTTATTAGAATTTTGTTCTAGAACCACCGTTTAGTAGAAGGTCTACGGATCATATACATATCTTTCACGCACAATTACTAAAGCCCATCACTAGTTCACTGTGAACATAGGCATCAATGATAAATTGCCGTAAAGTACGGTCCTGAACCGTCATACCATCTAGTCGTCCGACATGGCGCTTGCCAGTACGAGGCTGTCACTCGAGAACCTTTCTTTCACTCTGGGTGTCGGTTTTTCGAGCTATATGGCTGGCCCATCGTTACTTTTTTTTTTTATAGGATAAGGGTGACAAACGAGCACACAGTCCACCTGATGGTAAGTGGTTGCTGCGGCCCATAGACATCTACATCTATCCTCTGTTACAAATGAAAATGTAGATGCGTTGTCACCCGTGAGGACTAAGATGGAATACCTTATTTCCAAGCAAAACGCAGCGGTAAACCTCTACTTCACGCTGGTTTTCTGTGAGGTGGGCCGGCTCGAACCGGGGTAGTACCACGGCCCCGGTTCGAACCGGCCCATCCGTGCGACAGCAAAAACTGCCGCGTGGCTCTACCACTGTTAAAAACTTCAGTTTACTAATTCGTTGGGTTATGTCGGTCATTCTGGTTCTACTGGGTATATCCTCTTTACAAAGTATATCGCGCAGAGAAACTCCGAGCTTAGGCTGAACCTTGCACTTCCTTATACGGCTGGCAATAAAGGTTTCGGTACCTAGTTATCGCTGGCAGCACGCACTGGAAAAACTTTCGTCTTAAGTTGTGGCTAATAACGGACAAAAAGATTTGTCATAGTTTCCCAAACCAGATACGTCGGTTGACCTTTTAGTCGAAGTTGGACTTAGATAACTAAACTAACTAATTTTCCACTAGAGTTCCCAATCCCACCTATCTATAGGTATAACATGGACGTTATATTTTTGTCTGGTCTATGTTCATCTTAAGTTATCCATTGGGAAACACTACTGAGCTTGTTATGCATAGCGCTAATGTTCTCCAAGGCTTCAGCCATAATAACTATACCGTTACAACCAATTAAAGTCCACTGCTGAACATAGGCCTCCCCCATAGATTGTCTTATAGGGGGGATATTTACCATAGTTGACACGTTTGGCAAGCGGGTTGGCAACCGCAGGTTTTATTTTTAATCGTTATTAAGAAAACGCTGCTGCCTCTCTGATATGTTTCCCTCTGTCGCCTCTTACTACACCCACGGGATGATATGGCGTACCTAGTGCATATTCTTACACCGCCAGTACACGGTAATGTAATACACTGGCCACTACACGTTTAATATAATAATAAATATAGCCATAATGACTATATCATCGGCAAACCGAAGGTGTGTAATCTGCTTTCCATTTGTATTAATACGGTATCCTTTCAAGTCCAGCAGTTTAAAAACGTCTTCCAATAAAGTGGAAAGTTTCGGGGATAGCCTATAACGTCACATTGTCTTACATATTTCTTTAATAAGTTTAATTTGGTTCATTGGCATGATTATCAATTGAACTTGGGTAGTATGTTGACGGCTCCGTGGCGCAGTGACTTAGCAATCAGTTGTTGCGCTGGGGGCCGCGGGTTCGAATCCCGCACGGAACAAGTATTTGTATGGCCTACAAATAATTGTTCCGGGTCTGGATGTTTGTCCTTGTGCAATTTATGTTTGTAAACTGCTCCCACGATACAGGAGAAAATCCTAGTGTGGGGGGTAACGTTTTTTAACAAATAAACAAACAAAGTATAAATTATCAAAAGTATGAAGTAAATTAAATAAGTATTGTTGTTAATACTTCCATTCTATCAAAAAAAAAACGTTTCATAAACTCACCTCTTGGATAGATTCCCGTAGATACGTTTAACACTGCCACCATTCCTCTTGCGTTTCCCACCTTGATTGTCGGTTAAGGATATTATTTCTACATCATGACTTACGTTCTAATCCTAAGCCACTAATAGTTAGATAAATATTTCAAACTATATTGATGATCGGGCATAGACGTGTGTCAATCGTGAACGATTCGTTCATTTGAACCCTATCGCACCAAAGTATTGATGATTGAAATTACATTTTTGATCATGTTCCGGATCAAACGATTGACAAGACCTACACTAAAAGAGTATTGTAATGTCCGACGACCGTCATTATCGAGCGGGTGATAGATCACAGAGTACTGAAACTCGAAATGATCCAACTGCATTATATATTTATTTATTTAAACCTTTATTACTGCGTTTCCCCAGATATTGTTATAATTTATAAGTTTTTATGTTCTCATGATAAGTGAATTTTGGATTCTTAATGAGAATAAATTTCTTAAACCACATATTACACACCTTATATTAAGGGATAAAAAGGGCGGACTTAATGCCTTATTGAATTCTCTACCAGTCAACCCTGGATGATTTAAGAAATGATCGATCCCAATGACCCGGTTCGTAAGTCAAATCAATTCTTGAATGATACAGTTCACTAGAAATTAATGACTGACACATGTCTACTCGGGAATAATGACGTTCACGGTTGTAATGTGTCACTGAACTAGTGACTTCTCGACAACAGGTAATTGAAAATAGGTAACCTAGGTTCAGAATTTCAGCCGCCCTGGTAGGTTCAGGAAGAAGTAAGTTTTGACCACGTGATGGGTGACGGCATAAAAGAAACGTTATGCGAGACGGCATAAAAGATGATGGTGTCCCGTAGGTGTCCTCTTCAATAAAGATATAACAATCACGTTGTTGACAGAGTGCAGAGAAATTATAAGCACTCGACCATGAGGATAAAGATATCCTCATGGTCGAGTCAACCGTTACGGTTATCATCTTATCAAAAATTACTGCTAAACATAGGCCATGTAGATGTCTATGAGCCACAACATGGGCATGCAACTTAGAACATTATTTTACGAACAAAATTATACGTGTTATATGCTTCCATCTACATTCCGAAGCGCTAGGCTAGACTTATTTTAATCTCACTAGAGGGCACACTTATATATTAAGTCTATGCATACGCAATAATACATGCACACTACGCAGTTAGTAGCGGTAACTGGTGTGTTTTCTTTCATAATAATTAATTTTGCTTACATGATAACTAATATTTCTGCGGCCCTGTTTTGTTTTTGTTTAAAAATGTCACGAAAGCAATGTGTTTTTAAATGTGACCAATTTGGTAAGAATTTTAGTGTGCAGTGGGTTTTGGAGGCGATAAAATGATTTAGCTAGGATTTATCTTAAGAAGGCCGTTTTATCTGTGTTTTCAGGCAATGAAAAACTGGTAAAATGTCATTAGAATACGAAGGTAAATATCGGCACTACGTACGAGGTTATAATAGCTCAGGTGGGAAATCGGGCGGTCCCGAAACCAAAAGACCCCGGTTAGAGTCCAGATGTGTTTATTTTTCCCCTTTTTTTTCCAAGTTCCTTCATTTGTAAGAATTAAGCGTCATCTGTTAGGCAAAGCACTGCGCAATAACGAAAATGAAATTTGAGTTGCGCATCTATCTCTAGTATATATACAGTAATCTATGAGCCACAACATCCATTTACTATCGGGTGGACTGTGTGCTAGTTTGTCACCCTTTATCTGTTTAAAAAAAACTTGTGTATTGTGCGTGTAGAAGAAAGGTTCTTGAGTGGCAACCTCGTACCGATAAGCGAAGTGTTGGGCGATACTATACTAGATGGAGTGACGACCTGGTAAGACATGCAAGAAGTCGATGTATGCAGGTGGCTAAGAGCCGTGCTTTGTGGAACCTCTTGGGGGGAGGCTTTTGTTCAGCAGTAGATTTGTAAATGGCTGTAATGGTAATGGCTTGCGTGCGTGCGTACGAGTGTACGCGTGCGTGTGCGTGTACGTGACTGCGTGCGTGTGCGTGCGTGCGTGTGCGTGCGTGCGTGTGCCTGCGTGCGTGTGCGTGCGTGCGTGTGCGTGCGTGCGTGTGCGTGCGTGCGTGTGCGTGCGAGCGTGTGCGTGTGTGCGTGCGTGCGTGTGCGTGCGTTCGTGCGTGTGTACGTGTGCGTGCGTGCGTGTGCGTGCGTTCGTGCGTGTGTACGTGTGCGTGCGTGCGTGTGCGCAAAGGATACGATGACCATGTTGTTGTTGGCGGGCAGGAAGGCGCAGCAGAGCAGCGGCGCGGCGAGCTGGTCGCGCGCCTCGCGCAGGCGGCGGCGCCGCGCCAGCTCCCACACGCACAGCGCCGCGTCCGCGCCGCACGTCACCAGCTGCTCGTTCGACGCCGACCAGTCCACACCTGCGCTTCCACCTCGTTAACACGCTGATCGCCTTCTCATTACGCTGCCCATACACGCTACGGTTTACCGGAGAGGTATACCTGTGCAGGTGTGCATGCACACGTAGACCGCAGTGTGTATTGGAATAGATCTATGCAATTTTTTGATTCTGTACAGGCAACCGGAAATCATTTTTAATACAGTTGCTCAAAAAAATGGCGTATTGCAGGAACGTATAGAGTTTGGGATGTGGGCTATTACATACTCGAGCTTTTTCTTTACCTTTTGTTAGTTTAGTTAGTTAGTTTAGTTGTTTGTTGCACAAAATGAGTAATTTCGACGATATTTTATTTGAATTAACACCACCGGAACTCAGTATAATTGCACAAAACGCTTCGGAGAACATTTTACCGGAAAAGTCAAAAAGTCGCTACATATCTACATACGACGAATTTATTGCATGGAAAGAAGAGAAAAAAAGCAAATAGTTTTTCAGAAAATGTTATGTTGGCATAATTCTCCGAACTCTCAGCAAAATTAAAACCTTCTACGTTATGGTCGAGGTTTTCGATGATAAAAAGTATGCTGAAAATAAGGAACAACGGGGATATAAGTGAATATCCAAAACTAAATACTTTCTTAAAACAACAATCAGACGGTTTTATATAACTAAAAAGTCGAAAATATTAACACTGAAGGCCAACATAACTCGCGTTCTTCACAAAATTAAGCTCCATTTATGCGAAAATGTCGTACAAAATTGGTCCACCAGGATACACCGCCTACAGCGGAGTCGTGGCGGCCATTTGGGTGAAATAATATTCCATACATGATGTCATCGAATGTCCTTTAAAATAAAATAAAATTGTGGCAATATCGCTTACACAGGTTGTTTTATTTCATTTCAAAGTTCGAGCGCTCTTAATGAAAAACCCTATATATATAAACAAAACAATGCCTCAGTGTTGTAGATTTTCAACTTTTTAATTCTACTTAAGGAATATCCGTACTTTGGTATATCCATTTCTAATTTAATTCATATATATATAATCTAGAAACTTTTCTAACAACTGTTTAGGGGTTTCATAGCGGGGGAGGTTACGCCCGCTATGAAACCCGTCATATATTTCGTGGCGCCGCGCTAGTGGCAAAAAAAGTCGTGAATTCGCCCTCATTGAAGAAACATTTTTGTCATTTGTTGTCAATGCCGTGGTAATATTGACCGTTTCGGGAAGAATATACCACAAAAATATTTTTCACAGAAACATATTTTACAAATGTGATATTTACAAACAGTAAGTGTTCGCATAAATAAATTTTATTAATCCTTACTCATCAGCAATCATAATCATCTTCAATTATCCTATTTCATAAGGATAAATTAAGTGAAGATCTGCGTCTGATATTCTCCAAACTTGGAAGAGGTTTATGTACAGCATTGTACTAGTATGATGAATTCAAAATAGCGTTTTTTTACCAGGTTTCCAGTCCTGAGTAATGTTTAAAGTTTCAAGTCACCGGGAAGTAATTTAAAATCGACTGCAATTTTTTTACGAAACAGACAAACAGATGAAATCAATAAAATTATAAAAACAATAAAACTCTACTAAACCACTAAAACTCACCAGTAACGGCCTTAGTGTGTCCCTCTAGTATGAAAGAGACTTTTGGCGGACTCGCAGTCACATCACATATGGAAACAGTCCCGTCACTGGAAGCGCAGCACAGTTTCGAACGGTCGTTATTTGCAAATTTTACAACGCTCACCTCTTCAGTGTGCTACAAGAAAGCAAATTAAGTAAGAAACTAAAGCCTGGTAGATCAGATTCTTAGATTCTTTTTTTACAAATCACATTGCACATCCAAAGTAGTGTTCTCACATTTCTCACATTCTTCACATTCTCACATTGCACCTCCCAAAGTAGTGTTAATATACGTTGACTGGTAGAGAACGCCTTAAGGCGTTAAGTCCACCTTTGTACATTTCTGTGCTACGAAGTTTAAATAAATAAATAAATCAGGCGTTAAGCGTTCACTGTAAATTCCACAGTATGTGAGCTACTCGGGTTCGATCCTCGCGGCAACAATGACCGCTTAGTAGGTGAAAGAATATCCAGTACAAAATATCGTCGCGTCGGTGTCGTAAGAGGCGACAGAGAGAAACAAATAGTGGTAGAGCCACGCGGCAGCTTTTGCTGTCGCACGGATGGGCCGGCTCGAACCGGGATGGTACCACAACCTCACAGAAAACCAGCGTGAAGTAGCGGTTTACCTCTGCGTTTCGCTTGGTGAGTGCAGGTGGCCGGAGGCCCTTTTTACTGGAAATGAGGCATTCCATCTTAGTCCTCACGGGTGACAACGCATCTACATTTTGATTTGTAATAGAGGATAGATGTAGATGTATATGGGCCGCAGCAACCACTTACCATCAGGTGGACTGTGTGCTCGTTTGTCACCTTTATCGAATAAAAACAAACTAGGAGATGGCTACCCCGTCAGGAGATGGACAGTCTTCCTAATAACAACTAATTAAAGAAACTGCTGTACCAACTATAACAAATTTCCCTCTTACGAGGCAGGTGACGAGAGAGGCCGTGACGGTAATAGAAACAATGAAATTATTAATTGTAATTTTAAGTGATGATTCACTTCATGCTCTGCAGTGTAGGATAACACTGTGAAAAAACCTATCTCTGTGGAATCTGAAGACGACTGCTCATACCCTGAGCTACCAGAACAAGGTAATATATAAGAAGGGTGACAAACCAGCTCACAGTTCACTTAATGGTAAGTGGATGCTGTGGACTGTAGAGACCTATCCTCGAGTGAGAATTAATACGCAGGTGTTCTGTCACCCGTGAGGACTAAGATGGAATGCCTTATTACCAGTAAAAGTGCTTTACTTACCATAAAAACTACAGCAGCATAAAGCTGTTATTTTATTACACTATTCTGTGAGAGCATTGTCCTTTCCAGTTTGAACAGACTCCTATATATAATCATTAGTTGACTATTTGTGTATTGCTCTATTATATGTGTAGTGTGAGCAATGAACAAACAAACCTGATCAAATATATGATGAACTCCAGAAAATGCATAGTTCTCTGATATGGACAAGTCATCTTTCTTCTTAAAAGTACGATTAGGGATGTCTTCAACAGCTAAACTTGCCTGAAAATAATAAAAAAGACATAAGAAAGCTTCCACCACCTATTTGTTTACATTGAAGACAATAAAAGTAACAAAGACATGAAACACTCCTTTTTTATACTAGTAAGGGTGACAAACGAGTACACAGTTCACCGATGATAAGTAGATGCAGTGGTTCATAGAAAACTACATCTATTCACATTTAAGAGTAAAAATACCTTGCACCCTTTGAGGACTAAGATAGAATGCCTTGGTATTTACAATGGGTCTTTGGTTCTCATTATACACCATAATAAACAGCAGGCTTAACTGTCATTTTTGTGCTGGTATGCTGTGGGGGCAAAAACAATAATAAAAAAAATTTCTAGACATATTCATATTTTAATGGTATTAGGTTAATTTCTCAAATTTATGTTTATCATTTGGTCAATTTGGATTATCCCGCTGACCTCTCAAGGCTATTTTAATTTATTTATTGTAAACAATTATATCAATATAATGTGCACACCACAACCTACTGTCACTTATATTGAAAGATTGTAAGGTTTTTTTCTATGTTTATGAGCGTTGAAAGATGGCCGAGATAATCCCATAGTACCCATTTTTAATATCTACTATAATGTTACATCTTCATCTTCATCGGCCCTTAAAGGTTCAATGCTGGACGCTCTTGTAATTTTGGCAGGCAGATTAATATTGGCAGCACCAAACTTTTCACACCTTAGACACTACTTACTATAAACTAGATATTTTATGACTGTCTGTAATGTTTTAATGTCATATATATGAATATGAAGTCATAAAACCTTTTTGGAATATCTGACAGTTGCCCCATACTAAGAGCATGATATCAAAATGGGGCAAAGGATTCACTTATGCTACTACTAAGTAGTGGCAATATTTTTACTAATTTTACAATAAGGCCGATATTATGTCATATACTGGGTGAACTGAGTGTATTTTTTTACTTTACTGTACTGTATTGTACTGAGTGTAGTAGCGGTGTAAGAATATCCACTACCTCATAACAACTCGTGGGTGTTGTAAGAGGCGAGAGGGGGAAACAAACCAGGAGATGGGCAGCAGCGTCTTCCTAATAATGACAAAAAAATTGAAAGTCCGGTTGTCAACTCTGATGACAAGCGTGGCAACTACAACAAATATGAGGCTATCTATGGGGAGGCCTATGTTCAGCAGAGGGCTTTTATAGGCTGTAACAGCGACCGGTTGAACAATTTCTGCCTTTTGCTACTCATTTACCTATATGTCACCAGTAGTATAGATGCAAACTTGAGGCATTCCATTTTATTCTTAGAGATGACTAGTAAGTGAAGTTAATTACATCTATCTACGCAATTACCATCAGGTTGTTAGCTCAGTTGGTACTTTAATACCATAAAAATGTCATGGCTATAATAAAACAACATATTTATCAATTTTTACCTTGCTGCTTGATCTGGCTCGAGAAGATGCTGAGCTAATTGAAATATTGTCTTGGACTCCATATCTTCGTTGTAGCAGCTGGCTTCTGATGTTTATATACTTTTTTATTGTCTCTATATCCTAAAAACAAAATATATATACAAATTGTGACAGATGCTCAAGTAAAACCATCAATTCAATCACCACAAAAAATTATATACTGGAAGAATAATTATTAAAACAATTTACAAATATATCGCCTTTTTTTTCATTCATTCATTGCAGCCCTTCACAAGTCCACTGCAGAACATAAGCCCCAAGGAATGCCACAAGCATGGTCCCAATCCACCCGCAACCATTGACTTCCTGCATGTCTTACCAGGTTGTCACTCCATCTAGTGGGGGAACGCACTACACTTCGCCTGCCGGTACGAGACTGCCATTCGGGAACCTTTCTTCCCCAACGGTTGTCGAGCTATATGACCTCGCGGTTGATGTTGGACTTACCTAGTCGGACTATTTGTCCCAGGTAAACATATTCCTCAACAACCTTGAGCTTAGTGCTCCCAACAACTACCGGCATAGGTGTGACATTGAGGTTAAACATGATTTTTGTTTTGACCATGTTCATCTTAAGACCTATCCGTTGGGGGACACTATTGAGGTCATTGGCTTGGTCACTATCGTCGGCAAATCGAAGGTGAGTGATGTACTCGCCATTGATGTTAATACCGTATCCTTTCCAGTCCAGTAGCTTGAAAAAGTCTTCCAATGCAGCAGTGAAGAGTTTTGGAGATATTACGTCTCCCTGTTTTACACCTCTCTGCAGTTCGAAAGGTTTCATACTCTGGTTCTGTACTCGGATAGCCATCATAGCTCTACTGTATAAACACTTCAGCACTTCACACAATATACCGACAGTCCAATTGACACTGCTGGAGGGACTGCAGCACTGCCCACATTTTAACGGAATCTTAGGCTTTCTCATAGTTTACATACACAAGACAATGTGGGAGATTGTACTCATCGGTCTTCTGTACATTTTGCCGAAGGGTATATATGTGGTCTATGGTGCTATAGCCTTTTTGAAAACGGCTTGTTTGGGAAGCTGGAAGCCTGTGACTCTGCAAGTAAGACGACTCGTAATGACTCTCGAAAACAGCACATAGATGCGGCTCAGAAGGGAAATCGGTCTGTAGTTCTTCAAGAGAGAATTGTCATCTTTCTTGAAGAACATGACCACCGCACTTCTGCTCCACGCCTCCAGAGTAGTGCCACCATGGAGGACGGAATTAAAGAGCTTCTGAAGGACTTGGTTTTCTGGTTTTCCACCCACTTTCAGAAGCTCCTGCTTAATTCCATCCTCGCTCGGGGACTTGCCGTTTTTAAGGTGCTGGAGAGCCATTCTAATCTCGCTCAGGCTGACTATATATTATATACAAGATGTATATAATATATATACTTCTTAACTTCAAAATACAAAAGTCTCTTACCTTAAATTTAGCGTTTTCTCTGAGAAGCTGACTACGTCGTCGAATATACAATGTTTCTGAAATTTGACACAAGCATAACTATAACAAATACATACAACTAAACAATGTTCATATAAAATAAGCCTTTATAAACTGTGTGCATTATGAGAGTATAGTGTGTGAAAGAACATCGAAGATAGGTCTTACTAAAATTAGGATTTCCCGGTGCCCTATATGCATTGAAACGAGCATCAAGAGCAAATATTTGCTGCTGAAAAGCAGCCGCCATTGTTTTGGAAAACAATTGTATAGTCGTTGTTAAAACTTAGTTATAGCGCATAAATACGCCGTTAATATATTTAGTCATCAACACAACACATCATGTCATCTTCTGAGTTCTGATCACAAACTATATAGGAACACTACGCGTTCTGATTTCTGATTATTTTGACATTTCAAGATTTCACGTTGACTTGACAAACATCAGCTGTAATCCTGTAATGTACTGTCACTGTCACCAGTTGTCACTTCTAATCTTTGAGCATAGAAAATAGAGGAGGTGGCAAGCCTACAAAAAAATCGTGTCAAATTGAAATAATAAATGGCGGACTCTGTAAGCTCCGCCAATTTTTTAGTGATGTGAAGTCAATCAACTTTTAAAATTTAGTAACAGCTATGTGTATTTTTAAATATGCAAAATTATGTTTTCTCTAACGATTAGGGAGGCTAGGGGAATTTCGTGTGAATTTAACCGCCAGATGATTGCTACTCCAGTTTTATCGTTTAAATAATAGTTTGAAGACGATTTTGATACTTAATGCATGGATAACAACTCGTGCTTGTAAGTTGTAAGGTAGTTGCTCTGACTTCATATTATACAGAATAAGCTTTACTTCTGGGCTTATAAGTTACTATCTAAAGCCAGGATGATTAATCAGGATGGAGTTCTCTTTTTGAGCTAGTATCACCCCCCACCATTTTTTCTACTATTCTGGCTTGTGCACCAGTTTCGTGTGGCCGGTTAAGCTAATATCTTTTAAAGTGAAAACCACTTTAGAATCTCTGTGATATGAATATTATTATACTTTACGATGCACTTATGGTTACAAATTATCATACTAAATAAATTGTTTGCCGCGAAATATTTTTTAATTTATATCCACCCCGGCTTAGCATGGGTGATTTCTGGATTTTGGCAACAAAATCAAGAAAGACCAAGTGAAGTAGACACAAAATAATAAAAATCTGCGGATGCTAAACCGCCTGCCAAGCGTGATAGCTGTGGCAAAATGCCCTATGAGGCAATCTATAGTAGAGACGTAGGTACAGCAATGAACTTTTAGAATTTAATGGATGGATGGATGGAGTAGGAAAATAAATAAATTTAAATTTTTGTTAGAAATAGAAAGTATATATATATATATATATATATATATATATATATCTTTGGCAACCTAAAAATGATCAGAAAATAATGATTTAGGTCTATGAAGCTGCAAATAATATTACAAATTTAACAACACCATGGTTGTTATAAAAGGTGACTTAAGGTAAATTATAGATAAAAATATGCTTAACATTTATGTATATTGAATTATTAGAAGGCACGGATGGGCTAATATATACAATATATAACTAAACAATATATAATAAAGTCAAGTAATAATGTCCATAGTCTCTGAGGTATTACAAATAATGTTTGCCTACAGAGAGAGATTACTTACAGGCGCTAGATTTTACTTTATGTAATCTTTGTTGCTTTGCTTCACTTTTATTATGAAGGTACCGTAGGTCCTACCTAACATGAATGTAAGTCCGTTTCCGTATAATTTAGTTAATCATTTATGCTCACTGCTCAGACCCATGACACCGAAATAATGCAATGCATAACGCAAAACTTTTTCACATAATACGACAGAATAAATCAAGAAAAACCTTAATAAAGTATATCCTTGAAAGAATTTATTGTTAGCAATGTAACATCACTATTTACAAACAACAAAATTTTATGGATACGCAAAGAATAATAAGAAGTAATTAAATAATATGAATTAAAGGTTTAGGGTAAATAATTACATCCATCTACTTACTGTTGCAAAAGATATAAACGTTTTTACATTATATTTACAACAAAAACTAAATTACTCGCATTTGAAATGATACTTCGCGTGATTTTTGACTACATTTTGACGCACAGCCTCTTACACAACACTTAGTCATCTTCGTACTTTATAATTAATTGGAAAATACTTTATAATAAACTGTTTAAAATTTCGCAAAATTTTCAAATTAAGAAATATCGAACGACTTTTTATAACAGAAAATCTGAAACAATAAATGGCGGAATCGGCCGCAAGGCGGGGTTAAATGACGTCATCTTAAAAATGTTTATCAGAATACGAAACAATTTCTATTATCTGTTTCATTTATGAATGACACTTAGACTTACACTTCGCTGAGTGAAAAAGAGATAGGCAGCATATTGACAGTTCAATGTCGAATATAACCATATTTGTATAACCAATAAAACATATGGACGCAAAATGCAAAGGGATGCAACATCTCTCCGCAGTGCCAATGAATCCATAATAGATTTAATTGCACCTCATCTTGCTATTATTTTTAATACTTGTATCGATTCTGGTGTGTTTCCTTATTTAATGAAGTATAGTAAAGTAATACCTTTATTTAAATCTGGTAGTACATTGGACCCCGCTAATTATAGACCTATTTCTGTACTACCAATTCTCAGTAAAATTTTTGAAAAAATAATTTTGGATCAATTGTTAATTTTTTTTAATACAAATAAATTACTTCATAAAAATCAACTTGGTTTTACAAGGGGTCGTTCGACGTCTGACGCCGGTGTTGAGCTTATAAAATATATTTTTAATGCCTGGGAGAATTCACAAGATGCCTTAGGTATTTTCTGTGACCTTTCCAAGGCTTTCGATTGTGTTCATCATGAGACATTAATCAGGAAACTACAACATTACGGTGTAAAAAATTTGGCGCTTGGACTTATTACTTCATATTTAAGTAACAGAACTCAAAAAGTCGTCATCAATGGTAAATGTTCCTCCGGATAGGTAGTATCAATGGGCGTTCCTCAGGGCTCGATTCTTGGCCCATTCCTGTTCTTTATCTATATTAATGACTTACCTTATCTTGTAGGGGACAATCACGATATAGTATTATTTGCTGACGATACCTCTTTAATTTTCAAACTGAAACGGTAGTCAATTAAATATTATAACGATGTAAATAATGCTCTATCGAAACTAGTACATTGGTTTAACGCCAACAATTTGCTCTTAAACGGCAATAAGACAAAATGTATTAAATTTACAATACCTAATGTAAAACATTCGAAAACCAATGTGCTCTTAAATGGGGAGGAGTTGAGTCTTGTGGATACCACTGTTTTTCTTGGTATTACTATTGACGCGAAACTTCAATGGGGCCCCCATATATCTAAATTAGCAAGCAGGCTTAGTTCTGCAGCATATGCTGTAAGAAAGGTTAGAAGTCTTACAGATGTTGAGACAGCTAGGTTAGTGTATTTTAGTTACTTTCATAGCGTAATATCTTATGGAATTTTGCTATGGGGTAATGCGACTGATATTGAAACTATATTTGTTTTGCAAAAGAGAGCCGTACGGGCGATTTATAATCTAAATTGTAAAGAGTCCCTCAGAGAAAAATTTAAAGAAATAAATATATTAACTTTGGCATCGCAATATATTTATGAAAATGTAATGTATGTACATAAAAACATAAATAGCTTTAATAAGAATAAGGATGTTCATACCTTAAACACTAGGAACAAACATAAGCTTGTAATGCCAGTTACTAGACTCCACATAATTAGTAATTCATTTATGGGGCAATGTATACGCTTTTACAACAAAATCCCAGAACATGTTCAAAGTTCGTCAATAAACAAGTTTAAAAGTTTTATTAAAGAAAAACTGTACAAAAAGGGTTATTATAATATCAAGGAATACATGAATGAAAATAACCCCTGGGAATAAGGTGATCGCCACCATCCTGGTTCTATGAAAATTCATTTAAAATTGTATAAACAAAATTATTGTTAAGTGAAATTATGCTTAAAAAAAAGTCCCGCTGGGTTTCTTGCTGGTTCTTTCCAAGACATAGGTATTTTCCGAACTAGTGGTAAATAAAATAATGACTTTCAATAAGTATTATGTAATAATCCATATTGAATAAAAATTATTTTATTCTATTCTATTCTAATCGAGCCGATCGGAATGGACTCGGTCGTCGACGATTCGAACAGCTCTGCCGCCGAGAGGGGCATCGACAGAAACCTGATATCCGTCCGGATGAGAGGTCAGCAGAAGGTCCAACAGGGAAGGTGTATGAACCTCCACATCTGGAATCCGCGTAGGCGATGTAACCAGTTATGTTAGACCATATGCCAAGGCAAAGTCATAAACAGATCTCCCCGCATGATCGGTTAAAGGTGAGCCAAGCCATTCGGCGTGGTGGGCGTTAAAATCGCCAAGGATCACGATCTCTGCGGATGGGACCTGTTGCAGCAAGGAATCTGTAGCCAATTGGACGTGGTCGATGAGTCGGTCTGTTTCGACATTACCACTATGGGACCTATAGAGGCACCCGTAGACGCGCGGATGATCGTCGCTGTCTACGCGTAGCTAAAGGATGGACAGGTCCGAACTGAGGCTCCCGAGACTGCTGAGGCGTCGAGAACATATGTCCTTTCTGACGAATACGAAAACTTCAGCCCGAGGCACAAAGGAGTGCTCCAATTATTAGTACCCTGGGTAGGAGAGATACGAAGTATCAGCCGACGAGGACACCTGCGTCTCGGTCAGAAAGAGCAAGGCCGACTTCGCCGTCTCGAGATGGTAGTGGACGGCGTTTAGGTTAGAGTGAAGTCCCCTGATGTTGCAGAAATTCACGGATAGCGTGGCAGGGGTCGCCTTGGTATTGTTGCTCAGCTTGCCCCGAGCAGGTATTGTGTTGAGCGGAATTTGCCCCCCCCCCCCCCAGAATACGCGGGGCAGCCTGAGCACCCAGGAGTGGAATAACATGGTCGTCAGCGAAGGAGTCTCCAGGGGTGCTGGTACCCTCCTGGGGTAGTTTGATGTAATTCCGCTACCATGTTGATGGGGGGGGGGGGGGGGGGAATTAGGTCTCCGGCCACGAGAGGCACGAAATTTATTTAATAAAGTGGCGAAACTCGATACTATTTTTTGCGAAGAAATTTCCGAGAGGATATTTATAAAGGCAACAAGTTAA